TGCACATGGTGGTGAGCAATAAATAGCTACTTTTCCATAAAAGAAAACACCACAAAAAGAGGAACAAACACTGCGTGAGTCACCATTTACTGAAGAAAAAGACAAATATAATATGATAATCAGTGCCCTAGAGGTGAAGCCTGACTATATTTAAAGTCTGGAGGAACTCACCACACCTGTTAAAACCACAGATGTCATGATAGCTGTTTGTGGTTCTTGCAGAGCATTATCACGACCATATCACAGAAGCTCATATTAAGTTGCTGGCACTGGTAAATCATGAAGTCAGTGTCACTGTCACGTGCAGCTGCCAGGGTAAAAAGATGAGGCAAATCAACTCTGACTTGCTGTGTCTGAAAATGGAACAACATCAGGCCTTAGAGTCTGATGAGACGAAGTCTGGGCTTTTCCAACATGTGTTCACAAGTTGCTTCTTTGATTTAATTTGAATTTATTCTTAATTTTTGTTACTTTACTTTTTGTGTTTTACTGGCAAACATTTCAAATTAAAAAGTGTTATTTTGAAACAAAAATCTTTGTCATAACAAGGTTTAGAAAATTCTAAGGACATTCTTTTTAATTAGTCAATTATCTGTACAACAGTAATATGAAATGAGTTGAATTGGACATTTTTGGGTGCAACTTAAGATATGATACCTTACTTTTTTGAAAAAGAAGAAGAGGAGGAAGACAAAGAAGAAATGGGTGATATAGAATAACAGAGTGTTAGTAGTGTAAAAGTACAGTGGTGAACATGTAAAGGGAAACCATACAATATATCAAAAAAAGAACTTTACTTTTGCCTTTCAGAGCAGCTTTAAACCTCCTTGAAATGCTGGCATACGGATCCTGTGAGCTGTGTGTAGGAGAATACTGGACCAGACTTCAATAAGGAAAGCCCTGCAGTCTTCGGGACAACAAAAGAAGAAATCTTCTTTGCACTCTGCTCTCCAGAACATAAAGTTTAGGTTTCCATTTGGTGACCACTGAAACTGTGAAATGTTGTTATGGGACTATACAGAGCAACTGCCTCAGTGGTTTCCACAACATGATATAAGGGGGATGAAAGACAACTCATCAGACCATAATACTTAAATTTCCATTTCCTAGGCATCCTCACTTTGTGCTACTTACACTAGATTATGGGTCTTTGTGCACTGGCATCGATACAAGCAGCTTCTTAATAGCAGTGGCACCATGAAAAGCAGTTTGGGAAGATCACAATGTAGCCTTTGTCCAGGCTGTTTCACAAAGGTGCTGATTCAATTCTCTGGTCATTTTTGAGGCTGCATTTTTGTGGTGTTTGAAGATTTTTTTTCCCATTTTAAATTTTTTATCTTAGGTTTTTTGCTTACTGTTTGACACTCTGCACATTTTCATTAACTGGTTCCTAGGCGGCTCACCTAGTTTAGGTGCATGTTTTGAAGCTGCGTGACAGGTCTCATGCAACTTTTCAGCCTCTTCACTGTCAAGTATCTAATAAAGGGAAATGCCTAAGATAAATAATTCCACCCACCCCCCAACAAAACCTGCAGGCCTTTTCCAAAAATGGCTGTCAGATACTTTATGGGTATTCATGTGCTACCACAAGGGATGGCTTGTACAATATAATGCAGATCAATCCAATTACCATGAAAATTTGTTCACACAGTAGACAGAATAACAGAAACACCTTAGCATAATACAACACCACCACAAACCAGGGCCTAAGAACATACCTGACTTCAATCAAACTGAACTGCAAACTTCACAATAATAGATGTTGCACTAAATTTTACAGTGTTTACGTTGTTGAGTGCAACCCCTGTAGATATGACTGCTGTGAGATATCCAGGACATATATGATGTACTGTACATGAGAAGAATTTATAAGTAACCCTGAAAGTACAGAGCGTATTCTGTGTTGTAACAGTTTGTCTGTTTGTATTTCTTATGGGCTCACAAGGATAGAGATGCCTAGAGGGAAGATCCTGCAGAATGCTATATTGTCAAAGTCAGAATTGGGGGTCTGACATGCACAAAGAGGATGTTTTCAGAGTCTGACCCGTGAGACTGCACAAGTCAGGAAGGGATTTCACCATGCGTGCTGCTGCAGCTCTCATACTAAAACGCCAGCAAAGATATTCTGTTACTTTCCAAATATTATGGCTTATGTTGAGACACAGACATTATAAATGTTGATGTAATGACATTAATATGTGAAATATTTGTCATGTCATATAACATTTTATCTGCTGGCACAATAGGAACACAACCAATAATAATATTAATGTGCTCAAACGGCAGAGAGCAACAGCATGGACCCCCAGAGAATTTCTGTAAGGTGATTCTGTCAAACCTCTGGCTGTCAGGTCTCATTTAATACAAGCATAAAACTCCAAGTTAAACTTTCTTTAACCCCTGCTGAGTAAATTCAACAATAATTATTAATTTCAAGAATTCTTAGAGATCCGTTTTCATCTTTACTTTCAACACATAGGTATGTACTGTACTATGTGTTCAGCTTAGACATAAGAGTGCTTGTTCTTCCCTCTCATGAATATGAGTAGTCAAGAAAAGCACATGTACTCTTCATCTTTGGTTTTGAAGAGAGGTAGCCTGTAGTTTTCAGGATCACCTCCTGCAGGGTTGAGCGCCTGGAGCACACAGTATGGAACCTGCTGCTTTTTAGCGCAGCTAGTTGTATTTTTCTAGGATAGTAAAACACTGTGCCCAATAACTTTAGTTTCCTAGATCATACTGTCAAAGTTTAATTTCCTTGGTTGCTCTGTAGGACATTTAGAGGGGACAAATCATACATGTAGGAGCCATGAGAATCTGAACGTTGATGTTTTTGTGTCATGTTTGACACATTCAAAGGGCTTACCCACAAGTGCTTAATAAAGAATGAAGAGGAATGGGCTGCAACATTTTTCAGAACATAAATCACAACCCGTAGCACAAGAGGATACAAGATGTAAATAGGATAGTTTTGAAGTAGCCCCATGTTTGTACTTCTCATGTATGGCCATTACATTCCAGTCACAGAGCTGAACATCCTTTTTATCTAATATATAAAAACCCGGTGATCTTTAAGAAACCCAGAAGGTCATTTAACAAGACTTACCGCTGTTCTGAAGAAATGGAATCCTCAAAGACTCTTTTAAACATCGAGATTTGAAAAAAAAAAAGAAGTAAAAAATCCATCCGCTGCTGGGGGAAATAAAAAAATAAATTTAACCCATTTCCTAGATTTTGACTTTATTTTCTATCCAGGAAGACAGTAATTATGTATCTGCTTGCTCATTTTATATGACACAAGAAAAACTTTAAGATGTTTTATAGTAGAATATTAAATGATACAGTATAGACCAATTATACTGATAACAGCACTTTATAAGCTGTCGTACGTCATAGAAATTGTGGCTACCAGCTTCGTTTGGATTCGAGAAAAGTGGAGCAACTTGAAAAATGGGTTAAAATATATATTTTGTATTTCAGATTTTAGAGGAGTCTGTGAGGATCGATTTTTTCTTTCAAAGATCACTTGATAGTTATTTTTCAGCAACAACGTATCTCTGCGACTCATCTCATTGGAGTATTAGTATCAAAAGCTTGAGGAGGAGAGTTGCTCGTTCCTCCCGGGTCAAACTGATTTGAGTTCTCACTTTTATTGTGATTGATATGATTGTAAAGATCATTGGTGCCTGAATCAGACCGCCTTAGTGGAGCACTCTGGCATCAGGGAGAGGAGACGGGACTGTTGTCAGGCCCAGCAGAGAGCAGAGAGTGCTGATATTCTTTTTGTCATGATAGTCAGTTTTTCATCTTTATGCAGAACACTGGCAGCGACTGGCTCCAATGGAGATCTTTGGGACCCAAAGTGCCACTTGTTTTCCATTGTACAAGGTAATTAAATGCATTCTCCTGGTGTCTTGTGTCTATTCAGTCCTCATTACACAGCTTGAATGAAAACCATCAGTACTCGAGTTCCTGAGAACCAGAGCTGGGAAACACTAGTAGAAACTGCATTAATACAGAATCCTAAGATAAGTTCACGGGGTGGGAAATGATCCAGCAGAAATGTACAGATATTGTATCTAAAAGGAGCAAAATGCAGCGATATCTGGCATGGGGGAGCATGCAAGCATTTCTTATGAAGTACTTCCTTCTCTGAGTCCCACAGGAACTGCATTACTTCAAAATAACCATTTATCAAGGAGATCCACAATTGGTCCGCAGGGTGAGCGGCAGTCAACCATAAATCTAGAAATGTCAGATAAGGCAGCATACAGCACTTCTCGTACCAATTACGTTGTAGTAAGCTTTGATACATGTAGTAGTTATACTCAAAGCAAAGAAGGGAATCATGAAGCAGCCTCGATATCCAACTCAACAACCTCTGCAGCTAGTTTCAGCAGGGCCTAAAACTTACTGATCTGGTTGGAAGGAATCCCATCATCCCAGGCTGGATGGGGATGGAGTTTAGTCATGACTGGTGTGGCCTCCTTTTTGTATGCTGAGCAGTCTGTAAGGATCCTCTTGCATTGATAATCCCAAATCCTGATGTAGATTTTGGGCCTATATATCAAGAATCGGGCTGAAATAAGAGGATCACGGCATGGCACTGCTCCACAGCAGGAAACTCAGAGAATGGAGCGTAACAGCTTTGTTTGCCCCACTGAGACTTTTGCAACTTCACAAGCAATCCATAATCATCCTGTGTTGATGTTACTGTTTGTGCACTACCATGAAAGTAAGGAGGACCAGCAGGGAAGGATGTGTCAACATATACATTATGATATAGAGCCAAATTTAAAATTAAGACATGACTACAGGGGTATGTTGCTCTTTCTGGTCACCATCCAGGATGCCTCAAAGAGATCCAGCGGAGGCGCTGGAGGGGCATTTGCTTGTAAAGAGCGCCATCAGGTGGCTATAGGTGGAGCTTGTAGAAAAGGGCACAACCACAATCTGATTCTCGTTTAATAATCGGGTGGAGCCTCACAGCAGGGCGGACCTCTTACGGATAGTATAATGGTTGGTTATACGCGTGTGTGTATGTGTGTTTGGATGTGTGTCCCCCCTTACAAATCGTCCGCCAGAGCAGGAAGAGGCAGCAGCTGTTAGTGATCGGCCTCTTCTTAAAGAAGGTAAGACCTCTGAAGTTGAATATGTTGACTTTTTCTTTGAAGTTAAGGTTGTTTGGGGCGCCGCAGCAGCGTGGTCGCTTCCCTGCCATGCTGCAGAGGCACACAAGGAAGCAGTGCACATGGTCTGAGAGAGAGGAGGAAGGGACCGTCGGCTGATGCAATATAACCTGAGGGCATCCGAGAGAAGCTACTGTACTTTTCTCGCCATACCAACAGACTTTAAAGTAGCCGAGTGCGACACAAAAACTTTCACTAATTCACTTTCACTAATATAAAAGTGAATCGGAAGTAGTTTTGCGTGTATGTATGCAGTTTGAAAAAACTGAGCTGTGAGCGTGGGGAGAAACATTGCCTTTTATAGCGAGTGTCATTCCCACTAGGGGTGTGGGTGTACTCACATGAACCCACTCTGCAAATGAATTCGATTTCTTAAACATTTTTCATCCGTGTTATTAAGTTTTTTGTGTTTTTGCTTGGCTTCATGACATTTGAAACTAAGACAAAATGATAAAAATGTGAATGTGTGCAGAAAAGGACGGTTTGGATTAAACATACATGTATGATGTGCACCCGAACATCTGTTTGTATGTGAAATACGTTTAGCATTAATCATGCAGAGGTAAAACCACATTAAATCAAAGGAACAACCAGAATCAGTTAATTAAAATCATGTTTATCTGTTTAATAGAGTGGTCCTTATATGCAATAATATCAATGAAAAGTTGGTACATGGATCATTTAAGTTTATATGCCAACTTTTTTTCCACATGAATTTGATTGTTAAGGAATTCACATTTTTCTTAAGAGCAGGGTTGGTTGGGACATTTTTGTATCGACATCAAATAACCTTTCATTACCCATAGTCGATCAATAGTTTGATCCCTGAACAGATACAGGTGCCTCCTAACAATTTACCAAGTTTTTCCGAGCACAACCCAAACTTGAAAGGCACAATTTTGTAAAATGAACAAGTAGTGCATTTTCCCAAAATTCTGCTTTTTGGGATGGTTGGGACACCTATCGGCTAAAAAAAAAAAAAACACCTTTGATGTATAATGTCACTTGTTCACATTTTTGAGAAAAGGAACACATTTGTAAAATGATTATAATTTCATACGTTACTCGATATGGTATTTAGCTGCCTTCCGAGTCTTCATTTCAGTGGTACCTACAGTACCAGGTTGGTGTGGTTATTGTAGGCTATATGTCCCCTATAATTTTTTTTTTTTTAAAGATATTTTTTGGGCATTTTTGCCTTTAATGCACAGGACAGGTAAGTATGAAAGGGGGAGAGAGAGAGAGGGGGGGGGGGGTGACGTGCAGCAAAGGGCCACGAGCTGGATTCGAACCCGGGGCGCTGCGGCAACAGCCTTGTACAGGGGGCGCCTGCCCTACCACTAAGCCACTGCCCCCCCCCCTCTTTTTTTTTTTTTTTTTTTTTTTTTTTTTAAATGTCAACAACAACTTTAGAGTTCAGAAAACAGTTGAATAGTTGAACTCAGCACATTCAAATTATGCTTATGGTTGAAATGTAGGCCTATATGAAGTCCATGAAGTAAACATTCACGCAGTGACTTCACAGTGGGTCTTATTCAAATAGAAAAAGCCTTTGTCCTGTTTTTGTTTACGTTTTGTGAATTTGTAACAAGGTAGAAATATAAACAAATACTGTCCCAACTGTCGCAGGAAGAGCACACACTTTAGACTTCTATGTTAGCCACCAACAAGACAATCATACAGCTAACACTAGCACAGACTGATAGGTCAAAAATCAGCTTTCCAATGATTGGTTTGTTTTTGTATTAAAATGGAGGAATTGTCAGAAGGTCTCCACTTTGAGGTTGAAAGTGAAGACGATGAAGTGGCTTGGTTGCTTTCCAACTTGGTAAAAAGGCACTGCCCTAACTTACCCTCTGTCCCAACTGACCCCACTCTCCCGTATTTGTGTGTCCATATGTTCAAGTGTTATTGGTGGCTGTAATAATCCTTCCCTCGGTCCATACTGGCTAGGGAGAGATCCTTTTCAAATGTGAGTTCAATCTTAGTGACAGGAACAAAATCCACAGTCCTTCTTATGTGCAAAAATGCATTTCAAAGTTTTAACAAAGCTAATTTGAGGCCTCAGGGATCTGAGTTAGTCAAATCAAGTCATCCAAAGTTACTGTGTTTTCAGCACAGTATTCTGCCTCTGTCCTACTGTAGCTCAGCAAGAAAGAATATCTATGGAAACTAAGGATAGACCGATACATCGGCCGGCTGATATATCGGGCCGATATTTGAGTTTTTTACTTGTATCAGCATCGGCCGATACGCATGTGGGTTCGCGGATTTATTTTTCCCTGGCATGATTTACAGACAGGCATCCACGGGCAGCTCTGTGTTGCCGGAAGACCCTGCAGCGCACATGCAGCGAATCCTACTGTGTACAGTAGTTGTTGTTTTATTTATGCTTCAGCTTAAATATTTGTTTATTTTATAAAGACATTACTGGAAGATTTAAGAGCACTGAACTCTTTTTTATTTGAATGTATAATAATAATAATAATAATATTCTACCTGTTCTATCTCAACTTTCTATCTTGTTTTAGTATTTTTTACTGTTCAATAAATGTTTCTTATTTTAAACTTGAGACCTGTAATATTTGTTATCATTGTGTCATTTTTTTTATGTCAATTGAGGGAGCAAAAGCAGTATCGGCCCCAAATATCGGCTCAAGAAAATCGGCAGTCCATAATCGGTCATCGACTAAGGGTGATGGAAAAAAATCAGTATCGGCATCGGCCCTAAAAAAATCCATATCGGTCTATCCCTAATGGAAACAAAGGAAGAGAAATGTATTTAATAAAAAGACTGCAGAAATATCCTCTACAAAAACACAACCGCTTTTCTGTATTTCTTCCAACTGCTTTTATCTGGTCAGTACTTTTTAATGTTAATCCCATAAATCCCCTAAATACACAGTATTTGCTGAAACACACTAAGAAACACTGTTAAAGAGACAGTACCATAATTAAAGGCTGACCAGAATTAAACATTACACTAAACAAATCCTACATCATGCACATGGCTGATATTTGAGTCTGATGGAATCAGAGTAATTTTCAGGATCCAGCCTTTCCATCCATCAGTCCAAGAATGGAGCAACAGCTGATGTTTTATCTCTGCTGCACTACCCAACTTCTTGATTGGACTTCACTAAATTGACCAAAACAGACAAACAAAAACAAACAAATCATGTTTAAAGTGGAGTAAGGGCAACATATGGGACTAATACTGACAAAGTATGTAAAAACGTTCATGTATGTAAAGCCATAAGCAAATGCCATCCAGCCAAATAATTGGATTCGTTTTAATGCGGCGATATGGTGTCCTGTCATGGTTTTGGGTTTAAAACTCTTTTATAGGGATGCATGATAATATCGGCACTATATTGGCCTTAAAATGAACATTCTGCCAACAAGCTTTTTCTTATTTGGCTCAATGAATGAATATTACATACATTGAAAAATGTTGTATTTCATGTCTCCATCTGTTGGTGAGTCATCATGATAAGAGTATGCATGCATAATATGATGTCAGTTCTTCTGCAGAATAAACTTGATGATTTCTAAAATTAGGTAGGGAAAAAAAGTTGATATATTGATATTGGTATCAGATAGCTATTGGCAAAAAAACAAAAGAAATGTAAATATTAAATGCTTCTGACGTGTTAGCCAGAAAGAACGAAAGCCACGAAAGGGATACTTAAAGTTTTAAGTGGTTGGAGGTCATTGGTTTAAAAACATTTCTGTTTTCTTTCACAAGGTCAAGAAACAAGACCCAGGCTTCAGCACGTGAAGGTATGAACACATCAGCAAACCTCAGAATATAGTAAAAATGGCTGTTCCTCTGTCAGTGGTTGGCTCTTGTTGTCGCGTTGTCCTTTGTAGCTTTAATATTACAAGGTCAGTGTTGCCTGAGAGATGTCACCAAAGGCTAAATCCCTGGAAGGGAGGAGAGTTTGTTTGGCTTGTGTAAGCTGTCTGTTTTATGATCGCCCTCACATGGCACTTTGTTTTCTCCATCCCCAGTTACACCACAGGGGCAGGTGGGCTTTTTGTAGTGCTGCTAAATACTCTTCATGTGCCAAGAGGGAGCTGGGGGGTCTCTGAATTGGCTCTCTGCTGTTGTCATGTTTTTAAATTAATGCAGGGGGAATTATAATTTAAGACAGTCAGCAGTGTTTCTTCAACTTATGTTAGGAAAATGCCAAGTTGCATACTCAGATGCTCAGATAATGTGTATTCCCTGATACACATGGTCCTGCAGGTGTCCGTCACACGGATTTACAGGTCTAAGATCAGTGCCTCATTAAGTGCAAATTAGTATTTTATGGATGTAATGTTATCTTAAACATTAATTTACAGGAAGAGTATCAATGGAAATTTATTTTTATAGGACTATGTCTAAAATACCATTACCAGGTCTCAGAACTCTCCCATCATGTGAGCCACTTTGCTTGTGATTTGAGGTTTACTAAATTAAGATTGGACCTCCATAGTATACACGGGTTAAGCTGGATGTGTTATTGTGACTCTGCCCCCCTCCCCATGCATATTAACAATGTCACAGCTAACATAAAAGACATTTGAAGGAGCTGCAGTATTTTGCCTAAGGCTAAATAGTGAAGTGCATGTGACTGACTGCTATTCCAAACTCACCCACATGCCCCCTGTGCGTCACCAGCAGGTGTTGAGTTTGATGATTGGCTGAGAAGAGGGCAGGGTTCTATCCTGCCGACATGCCCACCCTCCTTTTTTAGCTCAGCAACAGCATGTCACATCTTGTGCACGCTACTGTATACCTCTACTCTGAGTTCTCAACCACTGGCTGTTCTCACCCCTTTTGTCCGTGCTGCAATGTAACAAATGCTCTCGTGTGCGCAACATGTAAGGACATATTTTTTCAGGTCCCACCTCTGTTCACATTTTTATCAATGTGAAAAGTACACATTTGTTTACAGATTTTCCTTTGGGTTTCCTTTCTAGTTTCAGCTTTGTGTACTATCACCAGGGTTGTCTTGGCCTCTGCATGTTGGCCTGATCAAATTTAGTCCAATGAAATAATGGCTTCAACTGTCTAGGTCATTGTAACCTACACAGACAACACAAAGCTTTTCAGCTTTTGTTTCAGTAAGTCCTTGAATCTTGTCTCCTTTTGGAGGAATGTTCCAGACACACCCTAATTTCCTGATATGTAGTGGAAATATCCCTCTGCAACTCTGCATGTTAACAGATCATGGAATTGATTTCGTCTTATTTGATTGTAATTCCAAATTTAAAACCACTACCCTTAGTCTTGATAAAACATTTATTTGATGTAAAATGATTGTATTTATGCTGTAAGAAGGTTAAAAAGTACAGTGCAAGTCGTATTTGTTTTGTATTTATGACTTTAGTATAATGAGTAAAGCTTGCCAGAGTCAGTCCGTCCTGCACAGGGGGAATATGGCTGTCGTCACAGCTGCTCTGAGCGTCTTGAGGCCATGTGATGTGTCACTGTTCTATTTGTGAGCAGGCCACCTGAATGGTTTGTACACTAAGAGGCATCTCTGTCACGTGTCACACTAGGGCTTGTCAGCGCCTCTCAGAGCTATACTCATTCTCAGCTGAATGTGAATGAGTCGGCAGTCATCTACACTCTGGAGAACGTGGTTGAGTGGATTCATAAATTGAAAGAAGAGTAACTGTGTATCTCAGTGAGGACAAAAGATATTTTGTTTTGCATTGTGAAAGTGAGTACCAGTTTGCATTGTTGGTCAGGTCTATATCTGTCTCTGCCGATTTGGAAGAGGCTTTGAAATTAGATCTTGGATTGTCAGGATATTGCCCTGCACAGTGTTTACAACATATCACAATGTAATTGTTCTGCAGATGATGCCGTTATGGAATGTCTAGTGCACCAGGTTGTTGGGTAACATTATGGTTTAGTTATTTTTTTCTGTTTTGTCATTAGATAACCAACAATAAGATGTAAAATGTGTCCATTACTGCTGAGTTTGCAATGCTGATTTTGAATTATTTCACATCACAGTATGTAAAGAAGATACTGTTCATGTTCTGTGAGAAAAAAATCAGCAACTATTTAATAGCTTAAGAAAGTTCTTCCATATTGGGAATGAGCTGTCACAGCTGCTTGCACTCCAACCTGGGACGATATATGTTTTTAACAGATAATAGTAATTGAAGAGAACAGAGTATCTTTTGGAAGTAGTAATATCTCTGTAGCTTGTGCAATTCTATAAACATAAGAGGTGGCCAGATAGTTTGTAGTATGATCCACACATTGATGGATCAAACATTTCATGTTCAATGTAGAGGCTTTGTTGGACTTATTCACACTAAATGCAGATGCATTAAAATTAAATGTGAGTATGCAAAGATGAAACAGTGTGACGGACAATGAAATGAGGGCAGGCAGCACTTTGGATCTGCAGATTTAAATGCACTGCATATATTGAGTAGATTGACAGTTTATTCAACTATACCATTGTGCAAATGTAAAGCTTGTATTACTCATATTGCATTCTAGTCAGTGCTAATAATATGTTGTATTCTATTAATATGTACCGTACTAACAATTCACATACACCTAGCCTTACTCATCCATGCAGTTTTCCAACTAGCTTTTCTCTCAGTGCAAATGTTACTCTGGAAGTGTCTGGAACTCGTTTGTGCACCATGTTGATCAGAATATATCTGCGTTTTTATGGAAATAACAAGGCACAAAGAATTATGGCATCATTTTCACTGCTTACAGACCAGTGGCTCCATACTTACAGTCATTTTTTCTCCTGAGGTGAATGTGTTGTATTCCTACCACAATGTTTTATGTGGTACATTTGCATGCTCTCGTCACACTTAAGAAAACTGCCAGTGGTATGAAGAACTCAGAGTCACCTGAATGTCTAAAATAGTTTCCTGTGTGTCCCACTGAAGAGTTTTTTAGACAGGTTGCTATGAAATCTGTGACTTTTTGATTAAATCAAGACTTTATGTCACTAATATAAATGAAGTGAGTAAAGTTTTAAGTTTGTCTATTACATTGGGTTAATGTTCATCATGATGCAAAATATTGTAATAGTAGTGGTAATGTTTTCATGTTTTGTCTTTTGGCACCACACAAATCCTCACAGCAGTATCCTCCATCACTGAAATCAAATGCAGATTGAAAAAGGTAATTTGGAGTGTCTTCACTCTAAATGCCAGTGGGTAAAAAATAACACAACAAAATGTCACCACTTAGTTTATTGGTTTTAAGCTCTTATCTCTAAAAACATCAACTCAAAGTTAGAAGCCCAAGGAACAAACGGCTACTTGATCTGGTACTGGAGCAGCACCATATTTTTTTGTTTGTTTTTTTCATTGTCTGGTAAAATGCATAGTCATCTCAAAGCTCTGTTATTCCTATCTTGTTTTATCAACAGGTAAATTATCTTCTGTAGAGCTTTTGGTGCCAGCCAGGATGATTCTGGCAACATTAAAAGGCATTGGGAAGCAGCTTCTGCGGGTGAAGGTTGTGGACTGTAGCACAGAGGACTCCCGCTTGTCCCGATGCCTCAACACGTTTGACCTGGTGGCCCTGGGCGTCGGCAGTACGCTGGGTGCTGGAGTGTATGTGCTTGCTGGTGCTGTAGCCAGAGACAGCGCTGGACCTGCCATCGTCCTCTCTTTCCTCATTGCTGCTCTTGCATCAGTCCTGGCTGGTTTGTGCTACGCTGAGTTTGGAGCCCGCGTCCCCAAAACTGGCTCGGCTTACCTCTATAGCTACGTGACAGTTGGAGAACTGTGGGCCTTTATCACAGGCTGGAACCTCATCCTCTCTTATGTCATTGGTAAGACACTTTCAGTAAGAAGAAAAAGCGTTGACTGCTTGATATTGTTGGGTTAACATGAATACTTTCGTCCACACAGGAACTTCAAGTGTGGCCAGAGCATGGAGCGCAACCTTTGATGAGCTGATTGGAAAGCACATTGAGATATTCTGCAGACAGTACATGACCATGAATGCCCCGGGCATCCTGGCAGAGTATCCAGACATATTTGCTGTCTTCATCATACTCACCCTGACAGGTGAAGATTGGATACATCTCTCTCTCTCTCTTATGTTTGATCTCATTTTTCTTTTTGACATCACAGGCTTTCATATTTCACATTTTCTGTTTTTTAACTACTTGCAGGGCTGCTTGCATTTGGAGTGAAGGAGTCAGCCTTGGTAAATAAAGTGTTCACCTGTATCAATGTACTGGTGCTGCTGTTTATGATCATCTCCGGCTTGGTCAAAGGAAGCCTAAAAAACTGGAACTTGAACCCTGAAGAAATCCTCAATGGCACCAACAACTCCAGCCTCAAGTGGGTGAAATGAAGAGCTTATTCCCAAAATGTATAATGTGCCTAATGAGAAGCTTTTGTGTTGTGTCTCAGATAAGCAAATATTGTCCTCCCTCTATTTCCAGTATGTCTGAGTCCTTACCATCAAAAGAAAGTCTCGGTGAAGGCGGCTTCATGCCTTTTGGCATAACTGGAGTCCTCTCTGGTGCCGCCACCTGTTTTTATGCCTTTGTAGGGTTTGACTGTATTGCCACAACAGGTGAGAGGAAATACATTAAATTGATAAGCAACTCACATGACCCTGATCCTCTTACACCTCCAGTTTTGTTTCCTCTCCAGGAGAAGAAGTTAAGAATCCTCAGAGGGCCATTCCCATCGGGATCGTGGCCTCACTCCTCATTTGTTTTGTGGCATACTTCGGTGTGTCTGCAGCTCTCACTATGATGATGCCTTACTACATGTTGGACAAGAACAGCCCTCTACCAGTGGCCTTTAAGTATGTGGGCTGGGAGGGAGCCACTTATGCAGTGGCCATTGGCTCTTTATGTGCCCTGTCGACCAGGTAAGAGGCTCTCCTGCTGCCTCTCAGCATGAGAAATCGTAGAGGACTTGTAGATGTTTGCATGCTTTTTCAGAAATGAATAATTCATGTCTGAATGTAGAATTGTATTATATTTTCTTTGTTTAATTCAGTACTTCAGGTGAAGCAGTTGTAGTATTGACATCACACTTATTTGCCAGATGAAAGATTCTGGAGCGAGTTTTGTGATTGCTTCTTCAAAGAAGGTTGTTTTAAACATGTGCATGACTGATGTTACTTAACTTACTTAAAGGTGCCCTGTGGAGTTTTAATATAAAACAAACAAAGTTTCTGTTTACATTCAGTGTTAGTCGTTGAAACGTATCCTTGAGGTCTAACAAAAGTGTTTAATACATTTTCTTCTTTAAGCAAAGCTGATTCCTCTTGGCAGCTTTTTAACCTGCATTATTGAAATTTATGTGAGAATGCTTGCAGTCATTGGTTAATGCATTGCTGCTGTTCTTGGTGTATAATCTCTACCTGTAGATCCAAGGAATGTCTGGAACCAATGGCAGGAATACAAATTGCATCGACAAGTGCTCAAAAACTCCACAGCGTATATTTAATTCAGCTGCACATACTTTTTGGGTCTAATAGAATCATGTATTGTGGGTATTTTTTTTTTGTGTGTGTTGTGCATATATTGTTTCATGGTGTATTAATAAGCAGAGAATAATTAGGTGATCGTAAACAGCCAAAGCTGATTTGCAGTTCCCGTCCTTAGATGTTCTTTTGGCCATGTGTACACCCCTGTCCAATTTTTATGTACTTTTGGTCAGGGGCTGTTTTCATGGGATGTGGCCCTTTAGTTCCAGTTATGGGAAATCTTAATGCTACAGCAAACACTATTGAAGTGAGCAGTGTGCTTCCACCATTGTGGCAACAGTCCCCTGTTGTATTTTCTAACTGTGTGCATTCACTTGCACGGCATGCTTTTTTCTCTCTCTCCCGTACTAGCTTACTAGGCTCCATGTTCCCAATGCCCAGAGTGATCTGGGCCATGGCAGAAGACGGCCTGCTCTTCAAAAGTTTGGCCAAAATCAACCCACGAACAAAAACCCCTCTAATAGCTACAGTAACATCAGGTGTTGTGGCAGGTGAGGTCATGATCTAAACCTACTAACTTGTTGGGGTTCCTGTCACCCTATAACCCTACAAGACACTCTTGCCACACATTGCCTCAACACAAGCTCTCGACCAAAACCAAGATGGGCATACAGCAGAAATGTAGTCCTGTAAATGTCAATGCAACACCCTGCTTTGTTTATAAGGAGACTGCAGTTGAGGCCTTGTGTAAAACCAGAGTTCTTCAACATTTCAAGTTAAAACTCTTTGCCTCCTCCTTCTTCCTTCATCCTTGGCTTAGTCTCCTTGGCTCCATGTTTCCACTCCCACGCATTATCTTTTCTATGGCCCGCGATGGTCTGCTCTTCTCGTTTCTGGCACGTGTCAGCGAGAGGAAGACGCCCATCATCTCCACCTTGGTGGCAGGGCTTATGTCTGGTAGGTAACTAAGATGAGGTCAAAGGCACAGTGCCCTCTTGGGGAAGGAGGATGGTGGTAAAATCACATGATAAAGTAAACAGAGCTGAGAAGTTTGAATATTTGTATGAATTATCTAAAAACAAGAAATTTGTATTATATTGTGGTGGAAGTGTGGGGGAAGCCTGTCATCGTGCTGACGTTGTGTGATTTCTCCTTTGTATCCTGCAGCAGTGATGGCTTTCCTGTTTGACTTGAAAGACCTGGTTGACCTCATGTCCATTGGCACTTTGCTGGCCTACACGCTGGTGGCTGCCTGTGTGCTGGTCCTCAGGTAGTCCCTCATCTCTCAGTTTACATATCCACTTTAAAGTTGACAGGACACCAGAGGATTTCCAGGCTGAATAAGACCATATTTGTACATCCTCTCACTGGGAAGGGAATCCCCAGTCAGGGGCTAATGGGTTCACTTAGTCCAGATGTGTGGGCAGTTTTAAGACGCTCACAGTTTTAGTTTCCATTAGATACTAGATGTTGACTCATCCAAGCTGCCTCATGATATCAAACATGCAGTCATCAAACGCAGGTTTGTGGAGTCTTTTAGGATGAAAATGGCCACTGAGAGTTTATCAAACTTTTAAAGAGAGATAATAATTTGGAAACTCCAACCTTACAAAAAACTACTGACCTCCAGCCTTGCTAAAACATGCAAGTGAAAGTGTAGGTATTTCATGTATTTAATGCATGTTGTAATGAAGGTAATAATCATCCCATCATTTGTAGCATATTCACTGGAACATCTCGTCATAATGAACGTGATTGTGCAGCATGTTTGTACTTCTGCAATTCTTCTGGTGTGCAATTTCTAAGTCTGATTTTGACCGTATTTGTTTCTGCCGTCTGAAGGTACCAGCCTGAACAGCCCAGTTTGGCCTACGAGATGGCCAACACTCAGGATGAACCTGAACTGGCTGAGACTGATAACGAGGGGAACATTGACATACTACCACAACCAGAGGATCGCTGCACCATCAAGAATCTACTGTTCCCTGCAAATACAGTACCGTCCCCTCTGTCCGGGTTTGCCGTCAACATTTGCACCAGTGTAATTGGTGAGACATGTACAAGGCCCTCAGAAAAATGGATGAAAATGCCTTAATAATTCACCTGTCTACTGATTCAGCACATCACCTGATCGCCTCTCTTGGTTCCTTCCTCCAGGTGTTTTGGTGTGTGTCTTCAGTGTTGTGGCTGTTCAAGGAGGGCTGTCAGCATGGTCAGTGCCTGTCCTCTGTGTTATCATGGTGGTCTGTCTGATTATCACCTTCATTGTGGGGAGACAGACACAAAGCAAGGCCAAGCTTGCCTTCAAGGTAGAGTGTGTTCTTTCACCAAAGAGTTTTCTCACACTGTTTCATCGTCACATGTGCAAGATGACATTGTCAGAATGTGATAAGCATGATGTGTAAATTACTCTGCAAATCTCAAGAAACCTGTCTGTACACTTGAAGGTTCATAAAAAGCCCCTTAAAAGCAAGCACTTTCATTGTAGTGTCAGTGCTTTGCTGAACAGAGCAAACATCAACAAGCAAACAATGATGGGGGAGGATTTGCTTTTCAGACTTTACCATTTGTTGCTCCTAACCTGCTGAACGACTACATATCTATTAAACCAACAAATACAAGTTGTGTGTACTCAACATTTTTGCTGTCTATTTGCAAAGTGCACCATGAGTTTTCATATTGATTACAATCTGTTCATTTCAGTTTATTATTAAAGAGACCTGAGGCTCCCCTGAATTTAAATGACAGCATAGTGAAGATTTCATCACTTTTATATCATTGTATGGTAATGCAGTCAGACTCCTTACAACTACACTAAAACATTGCAATGCTGTAATGGAGCCTAATGGCTACCTGGAAAATATTAAATAACTTTAGATTTATGGTGGGCTTTTGAAATTGGTTTGGCCAAAATATAAAGTTGTTCATTCTTTAGCTTCTTTTGGGGAGAAACCCTCTAAGGACAGTTTTTAAGAGCAAATACAGAATATTATACTTGGGATATAGTCATAGTAAGTATGTAGATGAAGGCTTCTTTTACATTATGTTGAAGAGTGTTAAGCAGACTAATGGGTTAAAACATGTGAAATCACTGGCAATGTCATTTAAGGCCAATATTCATTAGAATTATGTGCATCATGAAAGCAACTTTTTTTATCTTTGACTGCACTGACAGAAAATATGTTGCTGTTGGAAGAGAAAACAGAGTTTGTTATTTCTGTTTGCTTCCTTGGGAAAGTAGTCTCAGACTCAGAAACGTGCCTTTTTGAAGTCTTAGTCAATAATTCCTGTAAAATTAATTACCCTGCCACATTACACAGTTAGCCATTACTCACAAGGTCTATGTCATCCATTACTATATGATTTGAATGTATCTTTAAGGTGTTAAATACACACTCTCTCCTCACAGGTTCCCCTGCTGCCCGTAGTCCCAGTCATTAGTATGTTCATCAATGTCTATCTGATGATGCAGCTCGACAGAGGAACCTGGATGCGCTTTGCCATTTGGATGGTTATAGGTACTTTGGATTTTTGACCAACAATGTCAGATATTATCGCTGCTGTACTTGTCTTTTCAAAACAAACGATTGTTTTTTTCCACAATGTTTTTACAGGTTTCTTTATCTACTTTGGTTATGGAATTCGCAACAGTTCAGAGGCAGAGTTGAGCAGGTCCGACACCTACACACCAGCCTGCACAATAAACGGAGAGCCCATGGTCCCAGAGAAGGAAGCCTTCCTACACAACACACAAAATGCCAATGGAGACGACGACGAAGATTCGTGAGGAAGCAGGAGGTTCAGTAGTACACTCTAGCTCTGTTCCATTAAACTCTCTGAAATAGTTGCAGCTATCTAGGAGATTTATTTATGCACCCTACCAACGAGCGTTGAGTTGTTTTCTTATTCCGCCCAGAATTTTTGATGAAAGTAAAAAGGTAAATTAGATGTAAGGCCACGTAATAACATTTAAAAAAGTTGAGTCTCCATACATTTTAAAAAAATGTTATTTTTTGTATGTTTTGCACTCTGATATGACACATTTCCCTAAACACGACTAATTCTGTGGAACTAAAGGCAAAGCACAAAGTAGTTTTAACAAAAGGCATCTGTTGTACATATATTAACTGTTAAACTGTATTTTGGTTCGTTAGTCCACAGAATGATCAGGATTATAAGCCCCTTTTTTTTTTTCCTGTAATTACTTATTTGAAGTTATTTTTTAGGAGTTGAGCATTTATTACTGCTCTTCTAGATTGAAATTGTTCATGATTGCAGGAAAGACATTAAGAATTACAAAAGCGTTTTGGTAAAAATGAATAAGGATCATCTCTTATTCTTTTTTTAAGGTAAATTTGCATGCTTTTAGCAGATTTCCTGAGAAATTTTTTTTTTTTTTTTTTTAGATATTTTTTGGGGCTTTTTAGCCTTTGATATAGGACAGACAAGCGTGAAGGGGGAAGAGAGAGAGGGAGTGACATGCAGCAAAGGGCCACAGGCTGGAGTCGAACCCAGGCTGCTGTGGCAGCAGCCTTGTACATGGGGCGCCTGCTCTGCCACTAAGCCACCAGCGCCCCAGTTTCCTGAGAAATGTCTGTCATTCGTCTTGCTGCGTTAGGAGGCACAGTGCTGGCTACTGTGTCCAAGTCCCATGGGAGCTTATTTTAAAAATCCACATCCCTTTATTTTACACCTAAATTAACTGCATTAATTAAGAATCAGCAAATATTTCTTCTCAAACTCAGCTGAGAATTCCACTGTATCTTCAGTGCCTTTTTGTTGTGTTTGTATGTTTACCTTAAAGGTACAACTTTGTATGTTTCACTCCTGAGAAAATGTGCTGTGTAGAAAGCACAACTCTGTACCTGTGCTTTACATTAACAGTATAATTCAGAATAATATGGTACAGTACGTTGTCATCAGTATATATCATTGTGAAAGTGTTTGTCACCCAGCTGATAGATGGTTTCCTCATGGCAAACAGAGATCAAATACACAGGTGTTGTCTCCATCAGGGAACTTTGTGTTTTTAACTAGCCAAAGGAGAAAAGCTGCTAATGTGAAGTGAATTATCAAATACTTCAGAAATATTTTAAGTGCCTACTTCCCAAATGAATGTTTCACCTTTGGAGGCATGATATTGCTTCATCACCAGCTAGAATTGTGAAATATATATGTTGTCTGTATATAATGTACACTTTGGATTTTGAAAAGCGCACATTTATAATATATAAGAGAAATTTCACCTTTAGTGGACCATTTTCACTTGTTAGATAACATACATCTGAACGGGATGATGTACAATCAGTTGGTGATATTAAGCCAAATATCATACTGTATATTTAGAAACTTACTGCACTGACAGTAACAATGTACCTCAAGCAGTAATGTATCTAAAAGTGCCTCTGCCCGTCAGACAGTATTTAACAATTATGGAAAGCTGATTGTGATTCCCCAGACAGCTAAAGTCTGAACGCAACGTGTGTTAACTAAAGACTGAAAATGCAACAAGGTGAACAATATTTTTACAAAGTCCCTTTTTTAATTGAACACTAAGATGAAATGTTATGCTCTTTTTACTATTTAAGTTCCATTAAGAGGAGGAGGAGTGTAACGTGAAGCCAAATTCCGTTTAATTCAGTTGGACAAAACAATGTTGCAATTTATTGACAGAGTTGCTGTAGCTTTGTAAATAGACACAGTGTATGCAACTTTGTTGCATTTTTAAGATATCAAAGCAGCATTGTCAATGAGGTTGTGCTGCAGAAAGTTACTGTTTCCCATCCATAACTAGCCTTTATTTAAACTGGTAGAAGTTTGAATCAGAGGGCCATTATCACATATGCATTTTGATTACATTACCTGCATCATTACCTGTTTTTCCAACATTTATTGTCTGTTTTTGGTTAAGTGGTTTTGTAAATACAGTTTTGATTGTGCCTGAAGTTACTGCCCATATTACAACTTTCACTTGTTTGTCATATGACCACACTGCTTTAATCTATCCAATCTTTTGTTGCAAACGTTGTGTAAAGTAAATGACTGATACAAACTGTGCAGTAAATAACTATAGTCAGGATTCATCCATGAGGCAAATTTCATCTCCCTTGTGGGTTGAATGTAACACATTAAGCCCTAGTTTCACTGACACATTTCTTTTGTTATGGATGTTGTAGTTACATTAAATCTTATACGAGGCTTCATCTAGAGTTACATTTTTGTTAGTGACACATCTGTTTTATGTAAACATTTGCATGCTGCACTATTTCAAAACCTAATGAAGCTTGAAAAAAGATCTAGATTTTATTGTAGTAATGCTAAGTTATAAATGTGTTTACAGTGTATCAGAGTGGTGAAGGTCAGCTACTCAGCATGTGATGTCTTGATATCGGTTGTGGTTTGTGTAGTTACTGCTGTAAATAAATGATGCCAAAAGTTAATGCCACAAACTTTGTCTTTAATTTTTGGGAGGAAAAAAAAAGATAAAGACAAAAAAGAGGTGCACACATCCCACCAACATGTTAAATTCATGGTTTGATTGATGTAGTTTATGTTTTATGGCCATTTTCCTGTTGTTGTTTTTTTTGTTTGAAGTCCTCAAGTATGTTCAGATTTTTTAAAATTAATTGATAATGACTATATCATTTGGATTAAATAAAAAGCAAGATGATTAGGTACCCTGTATTTTCTGAATCAACAAATAATAATAATTACAGCTGCAAGCAGTGATGAACCAGCCTTCATACCTTCATTCATGTCAGGGGTCCTGGCAGGACACCAGCTGACATGGCTTTTCATTTCTGTGAAAGGAAGACACAGCATGCACGAATGAGATGGTATATTGTTCATAGTGTGGTCATTAGAATGACCTATTTCACATCTGTGCCACTTCCTGTGTCCATGATGTGATGCTGGAGAAAACTAATTATATGTCATGTTGTACATCAATTGTAGACCCCACCTTGTAAAAGTCACATAAATCGAAAGATAAGTGTCTGACAAGTCTTACTTCCTATTTCACGGCAAATAAAGTTGTCACCATGGCAACACCCTTCAATTTAAATTTACTATCTTCATAAGTAGGCACCATCAAGGTCTTGTGGCTATGCTGATTAAATTTGAGGAGGATCTGGTCACCTGTGTGGGAGGAGCATGTCAAAATATAAAACTTCATTTCCTGTTTGCAGTAGGTGGCATTATGACTCTAATGTCATTTTTGGCACACAGATACCAGGAGGCTGGGCCTGCTATCGTGCATGATACATTTTAGGCAGATTGCACAATGTATGCTCATTTTACAACAACTTCCTGTTTTATGGTGAAATTTGCAAAATGGCCAAGATGCCACAGCAACGCTGTTTGACAAAAACTCAAAATTTTCATCAGAAAGTGTCATTAAGGTCTTGAGACCTTTTTCTGAGCCCATTTGAAGTGGATCTGGTCAACCTGCAAGGAGATGTAATTGAAGATATAAAACATGCAATTTCCTGTTGCCAATAGGTGGTGCTATAACTATGAGTAAATATTGGTATGTAGATGTGTTCAGGCCTCATTTATACAGTCTATGATTCAGGGTGGGACTGTAATCAAACGTGAAGTTTGGGGCAGATTGGAGCGTGTATGCTGGAGTTACAAACCACTTCCTACTTTAAGATGGTCCAGACAAAATTTGAAGTCAATCGGATAAAATCTGTAGGAGGAGTTCATAAAAGTACGACCCTTGGAAATGGCCAAAAATGCTCCTAAATTGCACAGTAAATTCAAAATGGCTGACTTCCTGTTGGATTCAGGGTATGGTTCCAGGAGAATTTTTTGTAGGGCTTGGGATATTGCATGTGCCTACCAATTTTCATGAATTTAGGTTAAAGATACTGTGGGGCAGCTTTGTTGAAATTTAGTAGGGGGAAATCTAACTATCCCCATTTCCCTAACCACCCTGCTGGGTCCCTGATGGACTCTCTTCTGGCTCTGGATCCTGTCCAGAGACGCTCTATCTCCATAATCTACAATTCCATTGGCTCCCTTAACCCAAATCCTGCCACCCATCTGAGCATAAGCAGATTTGGGAGCAAGAAATTGGTGTGCTGATACCTGACAGCAGGTGGGGCCATATTGTTGACTTAGTCCATTCTTCTATGTGTGCCAGGCATGGCTTATTACAGTGGAAGGTTCTCTTCAGGGTACATTACACAAATGCCCGACTATCAAACATCTTCCCAGACGCCAGTGACACTTGCAGTAGGTGCCAACAGTCACCTGCCAATCATACTCACATGTTCTGGTCCTGCCCAAATTTAACTAACTTTTGGCATCGAATATTTAACACACGGGGCAGTTTTTGGCTTGCACCTTAACCCTGATCCTCTTAAGGCCCTGTTTAGAGTCCCACCACCTACAGCACCGAACGTCCCATTGATAAAACGGCATGCTTTGGCTTTCACAACTCTATTAACTAGGCGCCCCATCATGTTGGAGTGGAAGCACACTCTTCCACCCTCACACAATAGATGGCTTAAGGAGATCCTAAACCACCTCACACGTCAAAAGATTAGATTTTCCCTTGGAGACACTGGTAAATCCTTTGACAAGACCTGGAAGCCCTTTAAGGAGTTTTTGAGTAAGGCTACCATTCACTCAGATGATAAAAAATATGATTCAGGAGGGTTCTCGCACTGTGTGATGCTCGGGCCCTAATTATTATTTTATCAATGTGATGTTTTGCACGGAATAAAATACCTTACATTTTGGATTAATGATACAAGCGACTCTCTTATATATCTTGTTGTAATTTATGGATAGGCTGCATGGAACACTTGGATCTTCTTTTTTTAAGGTGTTGTGTGGTCACTAAATTGTGTAGACGGTCTGATATTACTGTATATGTAGCTCTAAATATTTAATGGAGGGAAAATAAATTGATGATTTCACCTGCAGGGGGCGACCTGAGCTCATGTTGACTTGGGCGTCGAGCGCTGAGTCTCCTCTCCTCCCTGTTTTCCAGCGATGCTGCAGACTGCATCTTCTTCATCACAGCTCAGGCTGGTCGTGTCCCTGGTGCTTCTTCTTGTCCTCACTGTCGAGCTCTTCTCCGGCGGATTAGCTGAATCTAAACGGTAAGAATAACCATTTCACAGCGGGGACGGCGGGTGTTCTCTGTCTTTCTCTCCTCTCAATCTCAATCACAGATCAGGAGCAGTGATAATTGGATTTGACACTGCTGCATCAGCTGGAGAGACTGCGGATGATCCTGTTGGTGGTGATGGTGTGCGTATTAACGTTGGTATTTTCCAGCCATTTCCAGGTGTGCAAATTGTAAGGCAGCTGTTGCATACAGTCAAGCTGAAAGAAAGGTAACCTCGTTATAGGTAGGCTCACCTCAGCGCGCGTGTGTGTGTGTAGTGGGGTCAGACCTTGTGAAATGTCTTCTTTCACCTCTATGTTTGTTTTTTAGTGGCTGCCCTAAAAGCAGCAAAGCCTCTTCCCTTCCTGATAAGGGATCATGTGTGTAGATGCCCTCTATATTTAGAAACTGTGGAATGAGGAACAAGGCAGCATGAGGTGCATGAACATCAGAAAAAGTGAAGTGACAGATGTGTGATGGTGTGTGTGGAGTGACCATAGTTATCCAAAAGGTCTGGTTTTTGTTTCATTATGTAACATGTGACACTGAAGCACTGAGGACCACCAAGGCCTCAACTAGCCATCAGTAATTATACTACTTCAACATTGACGGTGTTGATTTGACCTATTTGTGCATTTATTCAGAAAGAATTTACATTTGCATGTCACATTAATGTTTTTTTCCCAGCACATGTGCTGCCTCTGCACCTAGTCTGCCGTCACTTACAGACCGTACAGGCACACACTTATGCTGCTGTTTCAATGTGCTCAAGACACAACAACAGATGATATTATGTGAGCTTTGGCTGGTTACACAAAGAAGTCAGGGCCACTGAAGCATAAAATGGGAGGGAGACTAGTGCCTCCATTTTCATTCATCCTCAATATTTCATGAGGATTCCAGTTTAAGCATCAAGTGAAGCTTGGTGGACAAATTAAGGCCTTGATCTGTGCTTTGCCTCAGATGTGTGACTGCTGAAACTGAAGGTGCTTGTGTATCACTGAAAAAATAAACAAGTGGTTTGAGCATGTAATCACACAAGGATGCACAGAGTCAAGGATGCACAGATTTCATAAGAGGCCCCAGTGAAGGTCTTGCCATCATGCTACATATCAGGAGGCAGGTGGTGGTGGGGTGACTTGCTGAACAATGGGGGGATGGGGAAACATGCTCAGGGAAGCATGTTGTTGGTACGAGCATAAATTTCCTCAATCTCCGGAGTGCCATGATGGTGTCGCCGCAGGAACATTATCAGCTGTTGCAGCCACGGGAGAAAAACAACCAGGGAATGTTATTTAAAAGGGAAAAAAGGGAGGGAAGAAGTGACAAGGCCAATGCAGAATTGAGCCTAACACACTGAATGTACAGTATAACAGTACAGTATGTGCTGTGTAGATGGAAATGGCAAATAGGGCGGTAAAGGAAGTGAGGAATCTCACTTCAGTCACTCATGGTACTTGCATTGCACTTTTTTAGTCAGTATAAAAGCGGCATCCTGCTCTTTCTTGCCCGGACTGTGACGCTCAGCTCTCCAGAGATTTGTGAAGAGAAAGAGGTTGAAATGAATTAAAAAAGTTCAATTATCTCTGTAATGCTTTCATTTCATGCAGCATGGGAGACTGTGAAGCAGAAAATTATGAAATCCACAGAAAGAACAATGTGAACTTTACTCAGAAAAGTAGGGCAAGCAAGGTAAAAAAGATTCATGTGTGCATTTTTGTGGTGTTGAGAGGTGTTATGTTACATGTTAGCATTAACATCCTCATTTATCTTTGATTTGTGCTTTTTGTCATATTATTTAGACCGAGTGATGCCATACATGTAGACTATCTGTAATAAAATCAGTAATAAAAAACAGTTTTTTAACTGTAGTGAGCCAGATGCATCATGTCATCCCTTTTCTAATGAATGCCATATCATGTGCAGCACTGTTGTGTGTGTACAGTTCTCTGCAGTGCATTGATTTGGAGTTTGAAATCAATTTAAGGGATGGAGAAGCAATCATGGCTGCAGCACAAACAATCCTGTTATTAGATTGCAGCTTCTCTGTTGAAACAAGACTTCATTTATCCAATTCGTCATCTCTTGTCAGGCAACATGCTATGTGTAAGACTCTTAATCAGAGCTTCATCAGTTGTTTGGTTACCCAGAGGGAGTTTGTGGCTTCATATGGTTAAATAGCTGCACAGTTACTGTGCCTTATTGTACCTGATAGGGAGGCGGGGAAAGGCAGGTGTAAAGGAATCTGATTCATTGGTCTCTGGTCTGCAGTGCAGGTGCTGAGACAGCATTTAGTGTAGTGTGTCAGACTGTACTCTAAACAGCACACTGCTGTCCTCTTTGCATTCTCATTTTAGGTGTACAAAACATAGCATATGTGTTTTGTAACTAATAGTCTCCCCTTTCCTTGTTCTAAACATGCAGCAAACTCATAATCATCACAACAGTTTTATTTTCACAAGAAGGGAAATTAGATGTTATATCCTGCTGCGTAAGTGGATTTATGGGAACATAAATGGGGAGTGAGGAGATGAAGTGGAGGAGTAGTCAGTCAGGTTTCATGCTAATCGGCTGATGAGTTTAACTTGGACAAACAGAGAATTTTGTTTTGTATTTGTTTTGTGCTTCCATTTTCAGTCCAGGTGATCTCTTTAGCGACAAGCACCACCGCACTCCTGACATAAAATATTTTTTCTTTACGTTTTGTGACTTGAACTGAGAAGGTAGGCACAAAACTATCAAGTGGAAAAAACATGATGATGCGGTCCAGTGGCAATGATGTTTGGGTTGTTGTTGTTGTTTTTTTACTTGACAGTCAGAGCTGGAAACTTGTTAATTGCATGTTAATTGCTTTTGTTGTGCTGTCAAAGCTCTCTGTACTCTATAAGAGTCCAGGCAGGAAATAGGCCAGTTACAGAGATGGAGCACCACTGGATTTTTCCAATTTATTGTAAAGTCTAAATGAGAGACCTTAAATATCAGGCCAAGTGAGCACACCTGCTAACATCTAATAATCTCTTAGTAGGGCAAGTCAGTCCTACATGGTGCTGACATGTTTTTTTTCCACATCAGTATCATTTTGTGTTTAACAAGTTCCTCCTGACTACTGCTGTGCAGAGATCCCTTGATTTGGGGCTAATAGTGCATTTAGTTTGCAGATATAGGCAGTAAGATTACCAGAGGGAGAAATCCAATAACCACCAACAGCACCAGAGTTCAGAGACAGCCTGTCACATATATTCTTATATGAAAACACTATGAATGTGAACCCATTCATAGCTAATGTAGGAGCACGCAGACTTAACTGCCACCTGTTCTCCCCACAGCACAGCATGCTGTCATTATGCTACAACCACACAGCTCCTCTGCAAGAATAACAAAGGGATGCTTCTTTTCATGTCAAAGAATGATGTGTTGTTCTATCAGTCGGCTGTTGAGTGTATGCTCTGGGATTGGTACGATTTATGTATTTCATTAGTCTTGAAGCAGTGAGGGGAACAGTGAGCAATGACTGCTGCAGAGGGAAAATGTTGGGGAAAATGGAAAATTAAAGTTGCTGCAAAATGTAAATGATCTAATTTTTACAGAGTTGTGTCCTGAGACTAATCAGGAATCAGTTTCTGAAACTACACTGCAAGGCTGGTTAATCAGAATCAGAAAACATTTCGTATAGTCACAGACCTGGGTAGAGACAGTTGTGTCCACATACAAATCACAATATCATCCATGGATATTCATCAAAAACTCTGATAGAACAGATGGTTCAAATGCTTATGGTCATCCTTTGTTCCCCTATAGAAGCCAGTTCAGTGATGCAGCAATATAATTAGTTAAACTTTATGACTTCTAGAAAGCATTAATGCAGTGGTTATAATGGGAATGTCAGAATGTAAGTGGAACTTCTTTTTGACCTCACAGGTTAATGGTCTCTTATTTGTAGTCTCTCCTCCTCTCTGGTCCTCTTGATAAATGATGTGTTCTTGGAAAGCCTGCCTTCATAAGGTAGATTTCGGTCAATGAAGACATAATTTTGGCAAATGACAAACCATTAGTAAGGTCTGTCCTACATTTAGTTTTTGCAATCATACATTTATGGATGGCTCCTGAAACTGGATCAGAGAAATTCACATTCTGTCACACAGATCTGAGAACACGTGTTACATTGTTCCTAGTGATCTGATACTCCACTGAGTGTATTATTTTACTGTTTAAGTATAGAATTCAGTTAAATTGTATGAAACACACTTCAAAAGGAGCAAAAAGCAATTAGGATTAATTTCCTAATGGAATTTCCTTTTTTTAAATCTACTTCAGAAGCTTGCCTGTTGAAAATGTTCAGCACAGCAGAAGAAGATAATGACTCTGTGTATTCCACAGGAGTGCTGCTAAAATAATCTGAGCCCCCTGACAATAGGTCATTCAAAGCTCTGAATCTTTTTATAAAAGCCTATACCTGTTTAATACTTTCTTATCATATCATTTCTCAATTCTTGATCTTTTTATTTGTTGTTTGTTTTCATACAGGATAAGGACCCAGATGTCATGAATATCCATCTTCCAAATTAGACATGATATTCAATGTTCTGAATACTGGCTTACTGGAAAGCAATGGGAAAATCAATTCTAGGCTCCTGCTGTGCCACTAAAACTCTTTGATGGGTAGACAGACTTTGTGGTAATAGATGCCATGGATGATTGAAAGTGCTCTTGAGGGTGCTGTAAACACAGAGCTGTATCCAAAATGAGCAAGCGAGGAGAGGCCTTTGGTGAGGGGGAGTTAAGGAACAACAACCAGCAGGGTGGGGTGCTGGCTGATGGTGATGCCAACGCCAATGAAATCCAGACAGAGGATGGTGGGATGACGGGGGATACCAGCACTCTGTCAGGACTGATGACTGAAACAGTACAGCAGGACAAAGTTATCATCTGGGGGACGGACTCCCAGTGTGACGACCCAGAGCTGGCTGAATTTGAGATGTTGGAGTGTCAGGAGCTGGAGGCCTACCTGGTTGAGGAGGGGGAGGACTTTGTTGGCCTTGCAGACCGGAAAGAGCTTCAAGAGCAGCCTTCATCATGCAGTAAAGCTACAGTAACAGATTATAGTAGCAGGGAAGAGAGAAAGACAATTCTGCATGGCACCAATGAGCAGGAATCCATTGCCTCTCCTGTCTCTGAAAGCAAAGAGGTGTCCAGGACTGAGTTAAGCTCAGAGACCGATATCTTTGTGACTTGTCTGTCCACCATTTCAAGCATGGACACTGCTATGGACACTGCTGGCAGGACCCAGACAACAGACTCCTGGCACATTGCCTCTTGTCCTTACTCAAGCATCTCAGAAGATTTGACTTTGGTTTCCCAAACTGTCACTGAGAAAGGCAAGGCCTCTGAAAGAGCCAATCATTCTTCCCTCTCCTCTGGAAAAAGCACAATAAACAGAAAAGATGTGGACATGAATTTGAATTCAGTGGGTCAATCAGAGAATGAAGAAGTGAGCAATGGACTTGTTCAGTGTAAGGATGTCATTGATGAGCACAGGGCAAACAATAACCAGAGAAATAAAGCAGAGAATACCACTTCAGAGGTAGACTGTGATCGAAGAAGTACAGAGCACAAGGGTTTACTCGCTTTAAAAACTACAGATGAGGAAAGCAACACTAAAATGGATAAAAGCACACAAGCGGGTGAAGCCCCTGATGTGAACTACAGCCCACCCAAAACAGGCACAAAGGGGACGCAGTCATCAATTGAATCCAAAGCTATAAAGAAACAAGGATCATTTGATAACTCATTGAAAAAACAGAACTCTTTTGACAAGAGTTTGAAAAAGCAGCCATCATTTGAGAATACTTTAAAGAAGCAGCTCTCCTTTGATAACACCTTAAAAAAGCAAGGCTCTTTTGAGAACACTGTCCCCTCCAGCTCTTCAAGTCTGGAGAGGAGGAAGCCATGGGGAAGCCCCAGTCGACCAGCAACTCCTACTTCATCTAAAACAACCTCCTCCTCCCCCAAGAGACGACCACCTGGTTCTCCAGCCAAGGTCCAGAGCATCAGGGCACTGAGCTTGGAGCGCAGCGACTCCCCTCAGAGGGGTTTGAGTCAAACAGTCAGACCTCCAGCTAAGACAAGTTTGAGCAGTTGCATCCCCAAACCTGTCATGTCTCAGCAGAAAGAGCCTGAACCCAGGAGGTCTTCTCCTCCCCAGAAACCCAAAAATGTTCGACCAAAAATCATCACTTATGTAAGAAAGAATCCTCAAGCAAAACCTCAAATGACGGATGCCCCACTTGAAGCCTCTACACACCCGCTAAGACTATCTTCTTACTCAAGCCCACCAGCTCATAAAGATCCAAAGGCTGGCCCTCAACCTAAATCCACACCGGTGCTATGTTCCTCCAACCTGCTGTTTGACAGATATCGACAGGAGATGCAGAAAGCAGGGTACTGTCCACCAGGCATGGCTGCGACTGCGGTGAAACCTCCAAGCAACACTGTCCCTCAAAGGCTGAGTGGGAAGTCGGGCAGTTTTCATGAGGATATGCCTGAGAAGTATCTCCAAGAGGTGAGAAATTGACTTTTGATTTCTTCTGATCACATGTCACAACAACTGCATGTCATTAGTGGTTAAATCCTGAGAAGTACAATAACATGCAACTGACAAAATACCTGAGTAAAAAAGTTTTAACCACTCAGTGGAAGGAGGAAAATGGTCGCTTTCACCTATGCTACACTCCCTATATTTCAAACTGTGAAATGTGGATATGACAATATGTTGACTGAGTTGTTTTATCAAAGTGAAGATTTCACATATGAAACTGCTCTGACCTCTGTGTACATAACAGCCCTTACAGAAAAAATACATAAACAGTTGTTTTAAAACTATGTTCTATCATCTTATTGCCTTTCAGGTGAAATATTAGATATGATGACAGTAATTGACTGTATTGGTAATATCTCTTACTAGCATGTTTCCCAAGAAGGAGGCAGTGTGTATCGCTCACCTAGGGCTCTGAGGCCTCAGCTGGGGTTGGGGGCAGTCACGAGGCAGCCTGCAGCCAAGACAAGAGTTCAGCAGTCAGGTCAAAGGTCAGCCCAGGCCCCAGGCCAGTCTGCTCAGGCAGCCAGAGTGTCAGCCCAAGGCCACCAGGACCCTGCAGGTGAGATGCTGGCATAATCGGTTCAAAGTGAATCTATCTATCTATCTATCTATCTATCTATTTAACATGCTACATACTTAAATGCTTATGTTGCAACACAAAGAATAGTTTATGGGAAATAAATTTTATCAGATCCCTCATTTCTCTGCATACTTTGCTATTCTGTGCACATCTTATCCCGTTGAGCTGGAGAGAAGTTATCGTCTTCGGCTTGCTGAATGATTTACTTAATTTTTTTTTTTTACCCTGTCATGCTTTATGGATGAGGCTTGGCTTTGGGCACCTAAACTCTTTGAAGTGCAAAGCATTTGATAGCAATATAACTCACACAGCCTACCAAATTGCACTGCAAATTTCTACCTGCTCACATTATAGGTCATAATCTAGTCAGCTTCCACAGATAATGCTCTTTTATTTATGTACAGTTTCATCACTGAATGAAGGTTGTCATATGTTTTCATCTATTTGTGTCTTTATAGATGCATGAGAATAGTTTTAGTCATCAGAGCAGGCGTGGCTTGTTAGTAATTACAAGTGTATTTCTTGCATATTTCCTCCTCATAAATCTTGGGCCATTATCAGAGTAAGTAATAATTTTAGTTTTAGATTCACTCACTGCTACCATAATATTGCATATGTTCTCATCTACCTCCAGGAGAGCAAAAGAGGTCAGGAGAAAGAGGTCCAGAAACTGCCCCTAAGAGTGTTCTCCTCAAACCAGGCCAGTCTGGTCTCCGACCACCAGGCTTCTCTGCCCTGCCACCTGCCCGTCTGGCTGCCTTTGGCTTTGTCCGGAGCTCTAGTGTCTCGTCTGTGTCCAGCAACATGTCGAATGACAGCAGTCACAGTGATCCCTGCCGACTCTCTCAGCGTGAGTCGTGCTCTCTGCATATATTTCAAATAATTTAGGGTCATACAGTTTTTACTGCTTTAATTAAGATGTCAGTGTCCCAGACAAAAATATTTCAGTGCTCTGTCTGATATATCTGTCTGAAATTACACATTTATGTTTTATCACATCTATATCTTCTTGTTAGTTCACCCATAGTCGATGCTGCCCCTGCTATCCTCAGTTACTATAGTAACAGCCACTCACTGCCTTTCATTTTCCATTCATTTATCACAAGTAAGTGCTGAAAGCTGCTGCAGCACAGAGGTTTGGATGAAGAGATCTTTAAGTCACACTCCTCCCTCTGCTGCCTCATCTCAGACTGCACACTGCAGCATTTTATCTGGATCAGATCCTGGTGCTCGGTTCAGAGCTTCCTGCAGCCTTCATTTAGAGAGATCAATGTTCTTAAGATCCAACTGACAAGCTGATTATCTCTGCGTGTAATAGAGATATAAGAAATGTGTTAGAACAAGCTGAGAAGTTGCCAGTTTATTACAGCATGTTCTGAAGCAGTGTATATGTGTTCTGTTCAAACATGGAGCTACTGCACATTTATTTATTCATTGTGCTGACTCACACAAACCATTGTGAAAAAAATGCCACTGTGAAAAAATCAGTTTTTCCCTCCTGCGTTTTCACATCTATCCCATGATCCTGTTGGACTGAGTCACACAGTCACACCTCAAACAGCTGCACTGACTCAGTCTTTAGTTCTTTGGTAGTTTTTATCATAATTATAAACTGACCAAAATCAGATAACATTCATTCAGAGCACCCAAAAATAAACATATTCTGATAAGCTTAAGACTGGTCTGTTGCACAGGCAAAAGCGTCTCTGTGGTTTCTGTACTGACTGTGCTGATTGGCTTATATGATGATGGCTTAATGCTGTCCTTGCTCAAGTGTCACTGCATTTGTTCCAGTCCACAGACAGCTGACTGCTGCCTTTTCCTGCACACCACTTTATTCTGACCAGCTGGATTCAGACCCTTCCTTAAGCTTCTGGTGCAGGCAGGGTCCTCAGACTGGGGTAAAAAAGAAAGCAGCTGTTGTCTCATGCAGGGTGCGCCCCCCTCAACCGTAGAAACTGCTTCACATGTCAGCAGCAGTCTCTTCTTCCCTATTTATAATCTCTGAAATGAAAACGTGGTGCCGGCGGCTGCAGTATGTGTCAAAAAGAGAGAGTCAGGGTGTGGTATGACAGGATAATCTGTGAGGCTGTTTTTACCCCGACACCTCTGACCAACCTCTTTCATGCCTGTGGATCTCGTCCTCAGACTTTCACTACAGTCAAGTCAGATAATGGTCTTTTAGGTTTAGCGTCTATCCTAAAAGGCTCCAATGTACACCTTACTGGGATATTTTGTACCATTTTTAACACTAATTCTTCAGAAAACAACCACAGATCAAGATGATGACCTTCAGTCATGTAAGTGTGGCCCACTCTGTCTTTAATTACCATTGTTGTCTTTGTTTAGTTTCTCTTCTCATTTCTATGTAGACAAAAAGATTAATAATATTATTATTACCACAGAACTTTTAGAAAGGTGAGGAATAAAAGTATGATTTTTCCTAAAAAAAAGATCATCAATCATTAATTAATCATTTATAGTATTTTTACAGTTCCAAACAGAATGTTTTGTTACTGTCTGTGTAAGATGTCTGAGGTTTGGCTACCGCTTCTAACAAGGCTTGTGAGCTAATAGTATAACGGTGTTAGTATCACATGGTATCTCTCTGTCATCAGCCATCGTGAGTTATCCACCTGCAATCCATGGTACTCGGAAACTCAGAAAAAAACAACCTCCGACGCAGAAAAGTTCAATGGAATTGTCACTGAAGTTGGATTTCCAAGCAGGCAAAATCCACCAAGCCCAAATTTTCCCGACACAAACAAACCTAACATCACTGCAACATGGCAGCGCACACGGTGAACTATACGCAGAATTACCTTCTCATCATATTACTTTATGAAGTGTTTCACATAGTGTTGGTGTTGTGAAATGTGCTGTGACATCATTGTAGCTGCCATTTTAATTTCAGTTGATTTGTGCATGATACGTCTTTGTGAGCATTTGTTTCTCCATCTCCGTCCACACAAAACGAATGCACACAACTTTATGCTATTGGCTGTGGTGGTTCACGCCATTACGCTTGTCGCTAGGCAACCATTTACACAATTTTGAGCTGTTGTACATTAATTTAATGAAGACAAGCAAGACAGTTGACTCATTTTATATGCTGTTTCTCTCTACTAATGGTGCTGTAGTAATTGAGATGCTTGTGAAGCTCATAAACTTGCCCTAAAAATATCAGTTTTCTGTGGGCATCCATGTTTTCCCGAGCAGATGCACTAGGACTCATTTAGAACTGAAATGTTATCAACTTCTGACTTGCAATGACTGCAGCGTTTGGTGGCATTGTGACGTGAAAGCAATGGAAGAAGGGAGGGGAGTGTGACTTCTGGCTAATGTTATCAATCGCACCTTTAAATTTGAAAAGGAATTACAAGTTTGCTGTGTCCCTTTCAGCTGCTTTACTGAATAAATGGGTGTCTACCAGATAGTAAAATGCTTGGGAGTAGCTCAGACAGCCTATACATGACTGGCAGCTTGCGTGCCTGTGTTTCCCTTCAGGCTGTTGGCTCGGACGGCGCCGCTCCATTAGTATGCCACCGTATGCTTTGAATGCAGCCACATTCACCAGGGATGCACTTTAAAAAAATGTTGGGGCTGGGAGTGAGTGCATTCTTCCATATTGAACATCAGGATGCTGCTGACACACTGTATTGAATTCATCTGTCCAGTTAGCTCAGTGGGAGTCTGTTCTGAGCACACAATATACTCACATGTCTGTTGTTCTGTGTGCTACTTGGATGGCAAGATACAAGAGTTATGTTCTGTGTGTTTGGAGCCACAGTGTGTTTGTCAGCTGTACTCACAGTGGCCAGAAGAGATCATCTGGTGACTGAAAGGACCAGTTCGTTTTTAAGTCCATCTTCTCAAGAGGAGATCTTATTTAAAAAATGGTGCAACCTTCAGTTTAACTGTACAGTACTTTGCCTTTTCACAAAGAGCTTGCTTTATCTTGTTCTTTACAGTCCTGTTTATTGAGGGATTCCCCTACACATACAATATAACAAAGTTCAATTTTTTGTCTCGTCTTGCGTCACATTTATTTCTGTCACTCCCACTCAGACAATAAAAAAGTAATGGTATCAATTATTCCTGCAGTGACCACCTGAATCTTAATATTTGCATCAGAGAGAAAAGAAAATCTAAGGTAGATAAGAGGGATTTTTGAGAAATAGAAGCTATGAGATTATAGTAGTTTATTTAGTGGATACAATAATAACGATCCTGATTGCATGAATGAATGAATTAATGTTTTTTATCATTGTGTAATAATAATAATGCCTAGCTCGCTTACAAGACAACATATAATCAAACAAGCCAGGACCAGAATCTAACATACGTACTTTCAGACAAAAAGAAAATGGAAAATGAGCAAAGTGACAAAAGCATCCTACATAATCAGATCATCATTGTGTAAGACAGAATTCATGGATCACTCACAGAGGCATGCACTGTGTAGCACTGAAAAATCAAAATAAGTACCAATTAAACAAACTATTTTGCCTCCTCTTCCAGGCTTTGCAAATGCATAGCAAAATGCTTGTATTTAACATTCTTAACCTGTCTGTGCTTGCTTGAATTAGTCACCAGCAGAGTAGAGTCCTTCTTGTGTCTTGCTGGTGTAACACTGATCAGAGGATGCTTACAGCAGGGGATGGATTTGCACTCTACATGCAGGTTAGAAACAAGTATTAAACAGTGTGAGTCAGCCTCCAGCCATCTCCCTTAGCCAATCCGCTTCTTGGCTAAGGCTTATTTCAGTAAGGCGCCTTTGGGAAAAAAGCATCTGCTGACTCTCCCAAGTGAATCTGTTGCAGTGAGGAGAGTTATTGTGGTCCCACCAGAGGTTTCACACAGGCCTTTGAGGAATTTTGACATCAAAAGGGATTTGATATTCTTTTTATAATCTGAATTTGTTACGCTGTCTAATGCAGTGTATTTTACTGCTTCATCTGTGTTTCAGGCTACTGAGCAGTCATCTGACTTGTTCATTCTCAGAATACAATACGGATATCTTAATTCAAGGTCAAAAAATGTCTGTCTTTACTGTTTTAGAGTGCTGAGGTTCCTAAAGCTGCAGCATGTGTCAGCACTGTTATTGATTGAGGAGCTGAATATTTTATGATAAGTAATTGAAGCTATCTGGTTTCACTTGCACTAACAAATTAAACCTGAATGCTAAACTGTTGTCACAGTGCTGGAATCCAGAGACAGTTCAGATTTTATCCTGCTTATATTTTGTAAAAGAAAACAACAATAAGTATCAACTGTGAGGATTTTCCTGTCCGCAGGTGGGGATGTTTGTTCTTGGAGATGTTTTTCTGTTGGACTACACCCAGCTACAGCTTCATTTTGTCTATGAATCAAAGCCTTTCGTATGCACAGAAAGCCAGAGGTGTGATAACAGCTGTTATAAATAATTAAGATGTTTTCGGCATTCTGCTTTTCTTGCTAGTCTTAGTGAATTTGTGTGGTTTAGAAATGAATTACTCTCCAAGGAAAGATTGTTATGTGCCGGTACGTGATCCTAAATATACAAAAATAAATGCAACATGGTAATTCTCACAGACGTATAAAGGATCCCATGATCCTTGATAGGTCAGTGAGAGGTGATTTACAGCACTGTCACTAGCAAGCGCAAAATATAGCCTATGTTTTTTAATTTTTGAAGTGATTTACAGTAATATATTTATGCCCTGATGACATAAATGTACAAATTATGAAAAAAGGGAATACAGTGACTAATAAAGGAGAAACTTTGGTAGTTGTCAGCCTGGACCCTGTTTTCCCACGCATGTTTTCTGTCTGTGTGACACTCACTAGTATTGGGTGAGAGAGCTGCAAAAACTGGCAGCAGCAAAACAGGCTGCAATGTAATAACATGGGGCAATTGCGTACTCTCAATGTATGTCCACTTAAAGTGTTTGTTTGTGCTGCAGAAAGGCTCATATCATTATTATACCTGTCTGACAACATTATGGAAAGGATCCTTACAGAGACAGACCTCTGTGTTAAAGAGTAAGGCCCTTTTTGTCTAACCTGAAATAGCTCAGAAATTGTCATCACCAAACCCACCAGACTCCATACACACTAAAATTACTGTTTATTTAAATGGAGTCTTCTGGGTTTGGCGATTGTGATTTCAAGGCTGTTTCTGGTTTACCAGAAAGGATCTCTCACAAAAAGGTCTATCTCTGTAGGGATCCTTTCCCTTATGTTGTCAGACGCTTAGAATAACAATCTGAGCCTGCCAGTTGCAAAAACAAGCACTTATACTGGGTGTAAGTTGATGATGCACAGTTGCCCTGAGTAGTAACATTGCAGCCTGTTTTGCTGCTGCCACCTGTAGTGGTCTCACTGGACCAATTTAAAAAAAACTATTATTGCCATTAGTCACTTGGACACAAAACTTGAGAAAATGGGGTCCAGGTTGAAAAATACCGAAGTTGCCCTTTAAAGCTACAATGCCCCCATCCCACAGTACAGGGTTTCATTGTTTTTGTAACTTTTCCCAAACCAAATTAGAGCTTTGATCATAGGAAACAAGACCCAGTGTGAAACACGCAGTATCAAGAGCATAATATACCAAGCAAGTGCATACTTATTTTTCTGTTTTGAGCATTGCACTGAGGTCTGGGCTGGTGCTGACTTTTTCTACCCACGTTTTTATTCTCACACAAAAAACAAAAAATAAATGGAGACATGGAATGATTGAAAGCAGATGCCAGTGTTGTATCCATTTATCAATCCCTATTTACTCTTGTTCAGGGTCACAGGGTTTATACATCCCTGTAAATAGCAACCTTTCAAAATTTTGACACAATCACTGACTATGTGTTTCTGGTCTCTGACATCCCTCCTGCTTTGAAGATCCCAGCAGTGGCAGCGATGACACTCCGCTCCACAAAGCCACAGCGCCCCCCAGTGAAGCCTCCCATGCTCAGAGCAGGCCTCAGCCTCCCAATGCCCCCAGCCTCCAGCGCCGCAGTCTACCGCCACAGCGCTCCTCCCCACTGGGTATGTAGGTAGCCCGTGGAAACAGTTTCCGCTGCTCAGTTATTATGTGCATGTGTATGTGGTATTGGAGCTATCTCCAGAGAGGTGGCAGCTTAGCATTGGAATGTACGTGTACGTACATGTACATGACAGCTGATGAACTGTAACCAAAAGAAATCACATTTGTATTTATCCCTCACTGGAAACTCTCAGCCCTGTAATGTGAAGTGAAACCACCTGCTTTAGGCAATACATTTATATATGAGATTCTTAGGCTTGTATACATTATCTGTGTGTTTAAATGGCTTGCTTGACATGCCACCTTTCTCACCTGGATGTTAAGTGTATATTGAAATCAAATATTGTGGGGGGAAGGCCACTTAAATGGTGATCTGTATTTAAAATGTAGAGATTCTGACCACAAGGCAAAAGTAAATACTTTTGGTCCCATTATGAAAATCACTAAGATTTTTAATATTTCAATCACAAGGTGTTTGACAGAGGATTTTCACATTTTTGTTTGTGTTTAAGATGCAATATTATGGCCATCAATGTTGCACTCCGTGGAGTTTAATTTTAGATTTTAAGAAAAAGAAATACAGAATGATATAATTGACCTAAAAACTTAGTCCTTGCTGTAATCTATTGTAACTGTTGCTCAGCATTGCATCACAGCAGTGATACAGTACTATATATGTACTCCCTTTCTGCTGATGTTGGTGTCTTTGTTGTTAGTCGGGGCACCTTGTGGCCAGTGTTAGGTTAGCATTTCAGCACTATAATGTGGAGTATCAACACCATCCAGTGGTCACAGAGTGTATTTCTGTGTGAGCCTCGGCTTCCTGCAACAGAGCCTGTGTGACCAAGTTGAGCAGCAACTCCAGCTAGTGGTCACTGACTGTACCACACTGTGCCTCATTTAAATGTTTTCTCAGTTGTGGTTTACTATAGTTCCCAACCATCTTTGGTTGTAAACTTTTCAACCAAAGATGGATTTTCTCTTCTCGGATTGTTTCGATTAGAATGTTTTTTAAGCCCTGAAGTATTTTTTTCAGGATATTTTCCAGGTAAAAATAAAAGACAAAAGTCTAAAGAATGTCTTAAAAGTTAAAATAATTGTGTTGTGTTAATGTTTTTTTTTTCCTCTTCACATCCCAGTTATCATCTCACATCCCCTTAAAGTGCAACCACTTAGGGGGTCCCAACCCACAGGCTGGAAACATGTGCTCTACACAATACATGCGGAGTTGCACAGTCAAACATTCACAATGAACAGCAGTACACCAATGACCTTCAAGTGCTTCTGTGTGTGAATTATGGACACTGGAGAAAATATTTAGACCTTTTACCAAAGAAAAATCAAAACACCACAGTGTCCGGCTTTGTTTGAAATGCTGTGTGGTAAAGCCAAAAACAATTTTCCACATTGACGACAATGTAGTTCCTAATTAACGGACTCAGTAAACATACTCCATTCAAATTATACCAAATAAAGGTAATATAACTGAACTATCAAAAGTAAATGTATTCATTATACTGCAAAGTCCTTGTCAGAGTTTTATTTCATGTGTTGTCTGATTATTGTTACTGCTGCATTCATGTTTAAGCAGCATTTTAATTCTGTTGCAGGTCAATGAGAACTAGTTTAAATTATGATTTTTAGAAAAACATCATAATTTATAAACGTGTGTTTTGTATGTAAAATCTCAGTCTGCAAAGCAACTTGTCACCTTGACTGTCAAATAAATTAAAGTGAAAGAGAAATAACTGTCCTCAGAAAGACGGTGCAGTAGAGGTATAAAAGAGCATGAATGGAAATACTTAAGTTAGGTATAAATATGCTAATTGTATACTAACATGTGATGTATTTGTGAAAAGAATGTTTATGAGAGAAAGTAAAGTTTTTTTTTCTTGTGTTTAAATATCCACATTAAAGAACATATGGCCATTTCTCTTTACCAAACAGCCTCTAGGAGAGAGATGCAGAAAGACACAGAGGCTGCGATGCCACCAAAGTCCTCTCCGAAAAGATTTGCTGTGGTTTCGCCCAAGCCACAGTCCCCTGGTGAGCTTTTTACGTGTGTGTGTGTGTGTGTGTGTTTGTGTGTGTGTACAAGCACATACTGTATGCACATACAGTATACACTTTATCTGATATAGTGTGTGTGGTACAAAGGGAGAAAGCAGCCGTTAATAGTGCAACACCATCCGCTTCTACTGTATCTGTATAAAATTTACAGTCACTCTGTCTGCCTGCCGCTCTCTCTCTCTCTTGCTCCCTCTCTCCACACTTCATTACAAGACCCATGGCAGCCTGCTGTTGTCATGGCAACAAGCTACAGGAGCTGTAATGCTGGGATGGCTCCTTCAGTAGCAGTCCTGCTGGGTCAGATTACCACCACAAGTCAGCATTTTGTCCCTTTCTCAGAGAGCAGGCAGACAGATTTACAGCTGAGCAGAGTTCCAGTGCAGGTGATAAAAGTTTCACACATGATGCTCTCATATTATCCCAGTATGCGTGTTCAGAGGTGAGAGAGGAAACTGTGGCTGATTGGTTTGGGCAGTGAGGAGACTTGAGTAACAGTGAGAACATTTGTCCATGTGGGAAGATATGGACTACTGTGGTTCCAACCAATAAGCACTTAATTTGTTTATGTATGTGTGTAAGCTGAGAGAGTAAACCAACTACTAATATTATCTGCAGTGTAACTCAGCTATTTGTTGATGCTGTTAGCTAATGACTATTGTTTTTATTGGTTTAGCTGTTGGTTTTTTCTATTGATTATGTAATATATGTCAAAATGTAGTGAAGCAGGTGTAAGGTGTAGTTTAAAATTAAATTCCAGAATGATCAATCATTAATGTTGTTGTCACATTAGTCGCCCTGTTTGTAACTGTTGTGTTTGGTCTCTGTTTTACTACATTCTGGTGTAAATATGTCAGATGAAATGGATGCTTACTGCTTATACATATGATCTACTTGTAAATGGCAGTGTCTAGATTTTTCACTGAAAACTTTTCATTAAGTCTGTTATGAGTGAAAATATTCAGTCTTTTTTGTTCACCCCTCTGCTCTTTGTTTCTGTAGTTCGTGGGCAAACAGCAGCAGGTCACGGTGTCGTCCGGACTGAAAGGGCCCAGGAGTTGGACCGCGCTTTGATCCAGCAGCTGCGGGAACGCTGTGAGCAGCAGGACCTGCAGCTGCAGAGCCTTCAGGCCCAGTTAAAGAAGGCCTCCCTGTGCCTGGATGTTTTCAGCATCACTACCCAGCACTTCTGTCACAAGGTAGGCTAAAGTGGAACTTCGAGACCTGCGCAGGGTTGATAGGCGAGCAAACTTGGTCTTGCCTCCACTTGGAGAGATGGAGCAAATGTTTTTATGCATTAGCCATAAAATAGTAGAAAAATAGAGAGAAAGAGTGTTGTACGCTCTGTAAATATTATTGACATGTTACAGAAGGAATACAACTGGATAAGTTTCCCTTTTAAAGTCCAAAATCAGTTTTTGGACAGCATTCAGTGTAAATCGTAATCACATCCCCTTCTTCTCCTCTCCCCTTTAATGTGTGTTAAAGGAAGCTCTGACATCTAAGATTTGGGGAGTAGCTTTTCACAAAAAAAAAAAAAAAAAATCCCAGAGGAATCCCCTGGCTTTAATTCCTGATATGTAAGCTCTTGGATGGCACAAATTGTTAAAAAAAAAGTGAACATTCATCTTGATGGATTGTAAGCAAGTTTTAAGAGAGTCATTCTAAAGTTAGAAATAAATATAAAAGCATAACAAAATGCTTTAGAAAAAGGTTTACAAAGTATTTCATAGAATGTATTATAATATATAGAATGTTTAGGCTATAGTCAAAAACATGAAAAACCAGCAGTGTGGTCTTGGAATATGTTTAGAGATGTCATGCAAACAGAATCCTGTAATGAATATTGCATCTTTCCCCTAAATCAAAACCTTGTATCAGCATAAAATTTTGATATCCGTCCCTTTTGCAGCTAATAAACACAGGCCTGCTGTTACAAACTACAAAGGGAAAGCTGTTGTGAGCTTTAGTATGCAACTACAAAGTGTGATGCGTCTACTAGCACAAATGACACCAGCAGCATCTGGCTTTTGTTGTCAGCATCATTTTGTTCACAAAGCCAGTCACTTGCTTTAAAACCTGATTGTTGTGGCTTTTTGGGACATGTTGGGAAGACCTCAGCAGGATTTGTCTGTAGATCTGTTTGTAGGGAACTACTGAGGATTCCCAGTGTTTTTTTTTTACAGTAGTTTAAACAAATTCCGGCTTTTTATACTTTCAAATGATTTTGATAGAGCTGTGTGGCATTGTGTTGGGTCTGAGCTGGATGGTTGATTCAAAAGGGTCTGAACACATTTAGTATTCATTTCAAATAGCTGTGTTGATGTGTCTTGTGAGTATTCTCGTGTTGTGTAAGATGATGGCTGCCAATGGTGTCAGAATCATATACAGCCTCTGATGGTACAGACAGTCCGCTTGCACACTGTGACTGAGTGTGCTTTGCCTCTCAAACCTGGACTAAGCGCTTGTTTCTTGCCCTTTCCTGGTCCTCTGCTTGCATTTCATCCATTTCCCAGCCCCACCCACGGGTTCTGCTCAACAGTGGGAGATGATAAATGAGATTAGTGCTGGCTCGCTGTGCTTTTAGTGAGACTGATTGTCTCACAGACAGAGTATTCACCAAGGTCTGACGGGCGGAAGACTTTGTAATATGTACATCTGATATATATGTACCTGCAATAGGGAACATACTCGCCTTTTATGATGATGAAGAGGCAGTGTAAGAGTGATTTTCAGAGCGTGATAGCCAGCATTAAATATGTATACAGCATGACATTTTTGCAATTTTGGACCAAGATATTCTAAGTAAAATATATTTTAGAATTAAAGAAAAGACTAATGTTCTTCTGCATAGAAATGAACAGATTCAAAGTGCTTTTGCAAGAAACTTTACATCAAAAGCTGCAATGTGGACATCATTGCTTCAGTCAGAGCTTTCTAGAATACATTATTTTTAAGCATTGTTTTGTTCAGTATATATTGAAATGCCTGCATGTAGCTTTTTTCCCTGAGCTGAGTAACAGAGCAGATAATTGGCCACTTATTGATCATTTCCCTCCCCCATCTTCTCCTGCTTCACTCCTTTTGTTTTTTTTCCTCAAGGATGCAAAAGACTGTTCATGTGTGTGTGTTGCTTGCTGCCACGCGTGTGAATGTGATACAGCCGGGGCGTGTTGGAAGGGGCTTTAGCGGAGGGCAGGCAGAGCTGGGCTGGGCTAGGGCTGGCAGTCTTTGTTTCAGCAGGGATAAATGCCGGCCACAAACCAGGAAACGAGGTGAGGCTTCGGTCTACCCATTTCTCCTCCCCTCTCCTTCCTTTGCCTGGTGCCCTCCCCCTCCATCTCTCTTTCTGTGTCTCTCTGGCACTCGCATCTTTTACTGCTGCCTCCCCAGTCGGCTCAGGGATGCTGCTGTCTGCTAGCCTAGTATGGGCCATCGCTGCTCTAGGCTCCATTTCCTACCTCTGTGCTTTCTGGACCAAACGGTAAAGTCAGTATCTTTTGCAGGCAGCAGGCTTGTTTCTGCACCAAGGTTTCCTTTCTATATGTGTGGTTGTGCGCATGTGTGTGTCTAGTGGGGGAGGTCTGGAGTGTGTCTGTCTATATGAGCATTGCATTCACTTGTTTCCTAGAGACAGAGCTGGTGGAGAGAGTGTAAAGCTGTGCATGATAATGCTGAGTCAAAGCAGGCTTTCCTGTCGCACTGTCCCTCTTTCTTTTCTCTCAGAGTTTGCAGGGACATTACATAATATGCTATTGCTGGCTGTCTTTCTGTTTAACTGTGTATGCTCTGTCCTTACAATGTATGCTGGTGTATTTTAGGGTGATGACATGCCATTTACTGTATAGAGGAACTTTCACTTCAGATGCATCTGGCTCTTGTTTACCTGATGTTGCCGAATTGCTCATCTACAAGAAATCACGTGTTCAACTGTCCTCATAAAATGCATGCTGTAGTTGCAGTTGCCTGTTTGTTGGACTCTGAATCTCTTAAGGACAAAAAGTCCAAACAAAAAAGCAGCTGCACATAAGAAGGTTTTTACATACCCACTGTAACTGGATTGATTACATGGGTACTGAGTTTGTAGAGGTTAATTAAATCATTACAGTTTCTCCTTGAGTCTGAGCAGCCTTACTTTAAAAAGACTGGTTCATTCTTTTCCAGAGGGTAAAATGTACAGTGATGAAATGATTAAAAGATTGGCAGGAAGAGATAGACATCAATTTATTATCCATTAATGAAAATGCCAAATATTAGCTGCTGCAGCTTCTCGAATGTTCTCCTTTGTTACAGACCTAACATTTGATCAAAGAATCACAATAAGCCCCAGTTATGGATGAAGTTGCCTTAGTGACAGCTGTATATGAGATGGGAAAATTAGAATGCATGTCACAAAACTCCCTGGAGATGTGAGTAGGGGGGCGTTTGGGCTGGACGGGTGAAATGATGGGTAGGAGCAGAGGTGGAGCTGAGGAGTAAGAAATGGAACAAAAACCTGCTGACCATCCTTCATCCCTTATGAGGTCACAGCAGTCTCTCCCTGATGACTGTATGTTCCAATTAAAACCTCAGAGAGGGTGACATCATTCCTGCTGAGATATACTGTGTACTACCTCATACATATTTCACCCACTGCTCTCTGCCTGTCTCTGTCTTTGTTTCTCGTAAGCACTGCTGTGTGATCTCTGATTTGTCTCAGAGCAACAGTGTGCATAGCTGTCTTACTGCATGTTGTGATCAGTAATCATTTAACTGTCTGGTGTGTCGTCCTCTGTGAGTGAAAGGTGCTCTGAGGGTGTCATATCATTACGAGTCCCTGGTGGATACTAGAGAGGGGCTGTTAAAATGCTTTACATGATGAGTTTGTCATTCTGAAATGTTTCATAACTGCTGCAGTTACTGTAGCTTAATGTGAGACCTTTTGCTATTATAGCCACACAGTTGTTAATCATCTTATATTATAAGCAGACTGCAGCTGTGAGTTCAGATCTTCAGAATATATTAGAGTATAGAGTATATTGTGCCACGTTATCGCATAGTGCCTGGGTTCCCCTGACATAGCGATTTTAATTGTCATATTTATTAATGAATCATGGCCTCAGAAAATCTCTTCAGTCAGTGCATCTTGAGGACAGACAACATGAGCAGTTGTGTTAAGTCTGTGGATATTCTCATTTATCCAGGTCAATTCCATTCTGGCAACAATTAAATCGTAGGCAACTGGACTTTGATTTTGTCTAGAAAACGTTTCGCCTCTTATCCAACTTGGGCCAAGACTGCCCGAAACTAACCTCAAGTGGCTCAAAGAAACACAACGACAGTCGTTCACTGGTAACCACACATCATGCCTAACGACTGTTGCTCACCAGTGGCCCCACTCACTCCTAACGACCGTCGTTCACTAGTGTGACTCACCTGACCCAAACAATGGTCCAGTGAAACTCCACTAACGAAGTATTGTCTTATGAGGGTGGTGGGTGTACACCTCCACACAGGTTAAAAACCTGAGTCTTACTCCACTGTTTGTCAGACTAGTGAGGACTAGTCAGACTGATGCATTGAGAACTGATGAAGCCGCTTGGATAAGAGGCGAAACGTCTTCTAGACAAAATCAAAGTCCAGTTGCCTACGATTTAATTGTTGTCAGAATGGAAGAGCAGTTGTGTTATAAATAGAGAGGGCTAGTGTTTAGTTTGTTAAAAATACAGATGGTTTGGGGTTATTGCTAAATATACTGCATGACTGGTGTTCTAACTAAGCTGTTAACAGTTGGGAATACAAGGTATAATCACCAAACCAGGTGTGATGCAACAATGTTTTTGGCAAATGAAACTGTGAATAAATTAAACATATGTATTAGGGATGTTCTTTTTGGTTTGTAATCCTCCATGCACATGTACTGGCTAAGCCAACCCTCTTTCTTCTTCGTGTTTCTTTGGTTTCTTTAAAGTGGAGCATATTGTCTAAGAAGTGTACAGTGGTGTTGCCTAAAAGTCCCTGGGTTTTGATATAAACGGGGTGGACAAAATATGAGAAACACCTCTCAGTATGATAGAATATAATTAAACAGCACCACAAACTGCCATGAGTGTATATCAATCTCAGAAAAATGTTCTTAATATTGCAGTAATCATTTCAATCTAATCAGTCAGTCCTGTGTCAGTTGTACTCCTCATTAGCTTAAATTAATGCCAAAACTGTCACATTTATTCCACTCAGAGGTCCACAGTGATACTGTAGGTGTCTTACATCCGTTTGTACAGTTCAGAGGTGTTCACTGCTGTATGTGTTTGCATTTCAGACTGAGAGTGCCATTGTGAAGGAGAGGGAACTGTCCCTGGAGCTCGCTAGAATCAGGGATGAAGTGGGTAAGTGGGATACAGCGTGACAGATATGGCACCATAGGGTGGAGAGAAAGCAGTGAGTCACTCACTGCCTACTGCATATCATGTATTATACAGCATGCTGCCACAAGGGACGGTCTGCTGATGGATGTCTGGATTTAGTCCGATCGAACACCATATAGCAGACAGACGCTGTAAAATGTTGCAGTGTAAATTGTCATCAATCAAAACTGACTGCTTTAGGATTTTTAATTTATAAGATATTTTAAATGAATAGGCAAAAATATGCCCAAAAAAACTATGAATATGTCACTTGTGTTATTAAGCTGAAGAAATATTAACTCCCTGACATTACAACACAATAGGAATAATTGATTGTTAATTATTTTAGGAGTACCTTCTTAAAACAGAGTTGCTAGTTAGCATATGACACTGACATATGACATATGATAGGCCTACTGGTCTAGTGAAACAAACTAAAGCTCTACGTTGCATCCCAGCTTTCAGTGTTGAACACTGGGAGCAACTGCAGCAGGAGAAGGAGGAGCTGGAGCGTCGCTTTGAGGCTGAGCTGCAGGGATTGCAGGCTCAGCAGCAGAGGGAGCTGGGAGTGCTGGAGGAGCAGCTGAAGGCACAGCACATAGCCGAGGCTGAGAGCCTGCAGGCCCAGCAACGAGCCGAGCTGGAGGAGCTACAGGTCAAACAGCAAGAGCAGGTGTGTGTGTATTGATGAAGACTGGTTATAAGCAGATCCACTACATCTGATATAAGATGATGATGTGATGTCACTGAAAGAGTCGGTTCACCTTTATTACAAAAAAATAATATCGTTTTCATTGTTCCCAGATTGAGGAGATGACTGAGAACCATGAGGCTTCCTTGATGGAGGTAGAGACAGCTCACAATGACACATTGGCCACTCTGCAGGAGGAGCATGCCAGGACTGTGAAGAGTAAGTAACCACATTTAAAACCTGTTGCTCTCCTGCACTGACCTACTCTGCCAATGAGATATTGATATATTATTTCTTGTGCCAGATCTGAAGATGGCCCACGAACAGCAGACGAAGTCTCTGCAAGAGGAGTTTGAAAAGATCAGACTGTCTCTGCAGGTTAACAGTTTTATATAAATATACATATATTTTTACAGATGAGTAATGCGATCCATTTTGTCGTTAATGACAGTAGTTAATAAGTTAATATCTATGTGGTCACCAGGATCAGGTGGACACACTGACGTTTCAGAACCGTAGCCTCAGAGATCGAGCCAAGCGCTTTGAAGAAGCTCTGCGCAAGAGTACAGATGAGCAGATTGTGGTAACTTATGCATTATATAGCACAAGACAATATGTCGCCTGCCTTGGTGACAGTAGCTGTATACAACTTAAAGGAAGCATTGTTGCTTTAGTTTTAAAGACTGATAGTGGTTTAGACTAATTTTATCCGCTTTTGCCAGGATGCTTTGGCACCATATAAACACATTGATGAGGACCTGAAGAGTCTGAAAGAAGTTCTGGAGATGAAGAATCAACAAATTCATCAACAAGAGCAGAAGATCTCAGAACTGGAGAAAATAGTAGGTTTCAAATTTCTGCTTTTCTTTAACTTACTTTCAAATTGCAATAACACTTAACATCTAAGGTAAGATAATGACAGCATCAAATGACAAAAAAATAAATTATGCAGCACAATATTTTATAGAAGAAATGTCTCCTTTGTTACCCCCTATGACTATCATCATATTTCCTGTTTTACTGATAATATATTGTCATCATTTAAAGAATTTAATGTGGTGCACCCTTTCTCCTGTGTTTTTGAGCAGGCTGAAAAGAATGTGTACCTGGAGGAGAGACTGCAGGTGTTACAGCAGCAGAACGAGGACCTGAAGGAAAGAATAGACAAGAACCTTGCTGTGTCCAGGTGGGACAAGTTAAATGCATACGAGCGCACATTTTAAACCTAGTTCAAACCATTAAAAATGATTGTAAGAAAATACTAAAAAATATTTAAAAAGAAAAGGAGTTTACAGCCTTGTGATTTTCTGGATATAGTGTAGTGTAGTCTAGTGTAGTGTAGTGTAGTACGGTTACATGGGGCGCGGGCACAGGAGGCATGAATATAAATTAAAACCATGCCTGATTCATAGATTTAAAAAACACTACATTTCCAACAGCTGAGGAGGGGCAGAGGAGTCTGGGTTCTTACAAAATATTTCCTGAGTTTACACAGCTCCTCCACAAGATGGTTTATTAATACTGAACACGGTTAAATCGACAGTCACCCCTTAAAATATTGTTGAAATTAAAATTATATTATTATGAGTCAATATGTCTATAGAAAATTACTAGATATATAGAAGACAGTATTATCAACTTGTATGTCAGTAATAAGTGCACAAATAAGTCCTAAAAATCAATATATACTTAAATAAATATTAAAAGTGCTATAAAAGATTAGTAATTTAAAAAACTGATAAAAACACACCCACTCAGGAATTATTTACCTCATACATGTTGATGTTTTTCTTCCATATATCTGCAATTTGTTAGCATGTGAATGGCAATTGTCTACGCCATAAGAAAATATATAAATAAATAGATAACACCAATGATAATGTAGTCTGGGGACACTCCTTTCTAAAGTGTGTTTAACACATAGACTGTATAAATAATGGACGTAGTCGTTTAACACACCGGAGAAAACGGCCGGCAACAAAGCAACGCCTCTTGCATTTTTTAAAAGGACACACCCATGGGGTCATGGAGGCAGCAGGCTAAGCAAAGCACCCCAGATGTCCCTCTCCCCAGCTTTCAAGCACCTCCTGGGGGACCCCAAGGTGCTCCCAGGCCAGATGAGATATGTAATCCCTCCAGCATTTTCTGGGTCTGCTCCGGAGCTTCCTACCAGTGGGTAGGATCCTGGTATCTGATCCTGATCAGATACCATATCTGCTTCAACTGACCCCTTTCGACATGAAGGAGCAGCAGCTCTATTCCAACCTCCCTCCAGATGTCTGAGCTCCTCACCCCATCTCTAAGGCTGAGCCCAGCCAGCCCACGGAGGAAACTTTCAGCCGCTTGTATCTTGTTCTTTGGGTCATTACCCAGAGCTCATGACCATTAGTGAGGGTTGGGACGTAGATGGACCAGTAAATCGAAAGTTTTGCATTCTGGCTCAGCTCCCTCCTCGCCATGACGGTCCGGCACAGCGCCCGCATCATTGCAGAAGCCGCACCAAACCGCCAGTCCATCTCACGCTCCATTTTACCCTCACTCGTGAACAAGACCCTGAGATAATTGACAAGGGTTATACCGTCTGTGCGCACTGAGGGAACATTTTCAGGAAAATATAGCAGTGGGCAAGTACTGTTTTATCAAAGCTGGATGTAGCTAATCACTATAACAGACTAAAACTGTCACCTTGCAGCTGGAAATTCCTGACTTCTGCCTCTGAAAGGAATGCAGCACTAGGACATGGTATTTATGTTTTGATTTCCTGTCTCTTTCTTTCCCAGGCAACTCTCTGAGGATAATGCCAACCTGCAAGTGAACGTGGAGAAGGAGAGTAACGAGAAGAAGCGTCTGAGTCGCACTAACGAGGAGCTGCTGTGGCGTCTCCAGACGGGCGAGCTGAGCCCTCGCATGTCCCCCACCTCATCCCCCATCCATCGACACTCTGCTGGACCAGGCTCTCCAGCCCGCCCACACTCCTATCATCAATGACACTCTCAATGGAAGGTCTTGCATCAAACGCTTTCTTTTATCTGGCATCGGAAGCCCCGATTTGTTTTTATTGTTGAATGTTACTAGGATTTTACACTATGTAGACATACTTTTTGGGGAAGATGCTGTTTAGCCATGTGGTGCATTTCCAAAGTCAGCCCCGAGGAATTTTAATCTCTGACCTATAGAATTGTATTAATGATCAAAAGGGAATTCTCTGGCCTCCTCTTTCTCTATTCCATCTGAATGGCCCACACAACGGACGTGCTGTGATACTGCAGTGGATGAAAGACCTGGTCATTGTAGACTTCAGAGAGCAGGATCAGAGTAAAGGTGCCTCATTTCCATGTTTTCGCCTCCCATCTGCATCGCCATCTTCTCATCCAGCGCTCAGGACGATGGATGTAAGAGACACAGCAAACATCAAAAGTGTATAAAATGAACACAAGAAGCGCCTTTGCCGTCCATTCTCTCCCACCAGCAACGTTTATCAAGGCACAGGCAATAGTTTGAGTAAAAATCACAAAACTACCTACAGTGCGTTACTCTCAAAGTGCGGATTCTTCTTTGGGATATGTTATCCTATTCATGCTGAACTATCATACATCAGTAGTGTATGAATGACTACACATCTAACCTCAATCATCCATTCTACATTTTCCTTGAACAACTAGATACCAGTATTGACCTGAAACGTATGACTACAACAACATAACAACTCATAAATCCATTGAACTGCCAACACACTATAACTGTAGTATCAATTCTAATTGTGTAAAAACTGTACATGTATTGCTCTCTTTAAAGCATGTTCTGTCTTCCAGTAATGACTTTTGTTTTAGGATTACCTACAGTGTGACAATATGGAGCAGAGGGGTGAAGGGGCAACGAAAGTTACCTCTTTTCCTAATGAAACAGACCAGGATTTTTTTTTTTTTTTTTTTTTCAAATGAAACCAAGAAATAAATCATCGTGCATTGCAGACGAATCTCACTTTTTTGTGAGATGGTGCCCCTCACCTTCAGTCGGGTTAAGGAAATATAATGAGTTCCCACAAAAACGCAGGATCTGTAGAAGCCACCAAAGAGGAAGTCATTAAACACAGCTGTTTTTATCAAGTACTGTAGGTGTCATATGTCTGGAGTTAAGTGCTGCAGAATCAGCCATAAATGGTGCAGTCATTGCAGTCAAAATATTCTGACTTGAACACATGTAAATGCAACATGTTCATTGTGTCTCATTGGTTCTTTTTCTTTCTGTAAGTGTACCTTATCAACACTCTTGCAGCTGACTCGAATGATTCCTTTCTATATTGCTGATTGTTTTCTGTGTTTTGAAACTCACCACAGAAAACCTGCTGAGTAAATATGATGGGAAATTGTTTTGGCTTCTAAACATTCATTCTCTATTTGTACCTCCAGGTTGATGTTTGGCAAAATTCCTGCTGAGATGGAAAAATACAAAATCGGTTGATTTACCTAAACAAGTAGGAAAACAATGAAAATCTGCAAGCTGTTACCTCATTTCTCATTGTAGAGAATAATCTCAGGTCTTGAGGAGGATTACGAGTCATCGAAGGGAAGCAACTGCCATAACTTTTTTCTGTATTTATTGTACTTTTATTTAAGCTTTTGCTCATGTTTACATAACCATTCAGCTCAACTGTCTGATTTGCAAGATATCCTTTGTATAAAATGATTTGGATGTACAGAATATGTATAAATATTTTAAAGAGCATAGTGCAGTCAGCAAATATATACAAATACATTGAAGAAGTATTGCTTTACTATTATAGTATGATATAATAATCAGCTCCCCCATACATAAAATGTGGAAATCTGCTTGAACAAGGATTCTGTTGCAGGTGAGGTTGCTTATGTTTAATTTGATGGGCTTTACTATGTTCTGAAAGGGTGGAAATGATATTTCTCTCCATCAGGTACTCCAATTGCACTGATTGCCTCTGTGTCCTGTGGACATGACCTTGTACTCATTTACTGAATGTTTGTCCGACACTAGAATTAAAGAGGTTTTGTTTACAGTTTACATCCAATGTCAGAGAGGGATGGTGTTTCATGTGGATGTCGATACTTCTGTTGATTGTTTACAGGACTTCTGTTGTAAAGATTGTATTCAGTATTTCAGAAATTCACACTCTGGATGAGTTTATATGAAAGCATGTCTTTATACGGTTGTTGTGTATTGTTCTTTGTTTTACATTTCTTGTGCATTTCATTGACTGATTTATTTATTTGTCCTCCTCCAGAACCGCAACTGTAGCTTAGCTGGTTAAAATATTGTGGTTAGTGATGAGACACTAATGTCTATACTGTATATGTTGCACTTTGTATTTAAGTATTAAATCACAATAAGAAAATAAGTGTGCAAAAGTGAGTTTTGGTGTGAATATATCATAATATATAATAATTATTAATTCTATTTTATATTTTGCCATTCTTAGATAGGACAACTTTCTATAAGAAGTAATAATGCAGAGTGCAGTTCGGCAGTTAACACACTAAGCCTGTTAGACCATACAGCATCTGAAAAAGATACCTCATAAGCTTGTAACAGTAACTATATGACAAGAATATCACTACTTCCTCATAAAATTCTGCAGTAGATCTATGGGCAGAGGGAAGATGATGGTAGAGTTCTTCTCTCCTGCGATGGTGTTGAGGGTCTGCAGGTATCGCAGCTGGAGAGCAGAGGGTGACTCAGCAATGATCAGAGAGGCTTCTTTCAGAGCCCTGGAAGCGTTCATCTCTCCCTCTGCAGAAATTATCTGAAACACAGACAGATTATCATTATTCCTACAAATGTTCCCTCTCAGCATCCTTTCTTTTTCTTAGAGTAGAGCTTAGAGTGAATCAAGAAGAAATTAAATTAAATTTCCCATCGCCCTCTTAACCTTCGCTCTGGCCTCCCGGCTGGCTTCTGCCTCTGCTGCCATGGCTCTCTGCAGCTGCTGAGGCAACTTCACATCTTTGATCTCCACGCGCTCCACCTTAATGCCCCACGGATCGGTGGCGTCATCCAGAGCTTCCTGCAGGGGAAAATTCAACAACAAATACTCCTGTCGCATAAATCCATGGTTAGCTCCACCAATCAGTTATGTTTCAGTAAACAGTCAAATGACTGGAACTATTCACCCAACTCTTCAGCCATAAGGAGCTTAGCTTTAGCCTTTATTAAAAGTTTGGGTTTGTGATACATTTGTTGTGTGGTCCAAGCTCAGGGCTCTCATCATTAGCATTTTAGCAGACAGCTGTTTTGTGCAATCCAGCCAACATCTGTGGGCCCACGTGGATAGTAAATGGGCTGAAAAAATGGGCCCTAAATGGGATCGGCCACGGGTTCCATAATGGCCCCATGCCACATGCCCACATGGGCGGGTTAACCACTGGGCCCCACACAAGTTATGCTAAAGCTACCTCGGTACCAAGTGGGTTTGAACCCAAAATGGGCATCTAATGTGGGGCTCACGGGTAAACCCACCAATGTGGATAACTGGCATTGGGCCATTATGGAACCCACTGACAATCCCATATAGGGCCCTATTTTCAGCCTATTTCCTTCCCACATGGGCCCACAAACGTTGGCTGGGAAATAAGCTCTGATAAACAAACGATACCAAACATCAAACAGAGTTAAACATGGCTGATGGAAAAAGGACCAATTACAGATATTTTATGTTGATATCGACCAAAATAGAGATAAAAAGAGAGTGAATGACTAACATTTATGAGTTGGTTAGACACATGATGATGATGATAATGCGCTTTGTCTGCTGGATGTGTAAAAAGGCAAATTTTAGCTAATGTTAACTTATTAAGGAAATGGTGTCAATGTCAGCTTGTTCCTGTGTTACTTCTGTCTCCCATAGGGCAAAGAAACAACTAATGCAGCTTTTAAAGTAACAGATTACATCAGAGTTCAGGTTTTTAGAACTGTGAAACTACAGTTGGTCAAAACACAAACAATCAAACTATACAGCTACAAAAGAGTCAGCCTACAGAAAACTCACTCTGACCTTTGTCTTCTCTTGTTGTCACCACAAAGTCAGGTAGATTTCTAACTATAAGAGTCATCAGTAATAGTTACTATATTTAAAATCCTGCTGCCATCCTCTTCTGCTCCCCAGCTCCTCATACACCCCATTAGCACAGAGTTCATCCTCACCTGCATACTGAGTGATATGCCCTCTCTGTCAGATAGCAGTTCTGCAAGGTTTTTGGTACCGAGTACATTCCTCAGGGTCGTTTGAGCCAGCAGCCGTGTAGATGAGTGTGCATTAGACACATTGGCCACAGATGAGATGGGGCAGTGTATGCGGAAGTACACCACACCATCCACAGACACTGTCACTGAGTCTCTGGTTAGGATCTGCAAGGTCAAAAAGATGCAATAAAAGGATGCTGCCACTGTTCTGATTACCCAGGACGATGGTAGTTTTCAGGAGAGATACAATGATTTGCTATTTTTGATGTAAAAAAAAAAAAAAAAAGCGTACCTCTTGTGGAGGGATGTCAAAGGACACAGTTCTCAGATCGACTTTCACAAAGGTATCAGTGCAGGGCAGAACAAAGAAAAGTCCTGGAAAGAAATTTGGACCCTGCTAAACTTCTAAAGATTGCAGATGAAGCCTAATTTGATCACAGTAACAACTTTCTAAGCAGACTTTTTCAGCCACAGACATTGTATACACATGTAAGTAACACATTCAGTGACATACCTGGCCCTTTAGGTTTTCTGTCTGTGATCCGGCCGAGTCTAAAAATGACAGCTCGTTCGTACTCCTTCACTATCTGGGTGTTAGAAACACAGCCGGTCAAACAGAGAACATAAGAAAGACCTGTACCGTATAATGGTGGTTTCTCTCAGACTACAACCACTGGGTATAACATCTGCACATTTCATTCATTTGATTGGCCAACAATGTGTTTTTGCAAGTCGGTTTAAAAAGTGTCCTCTCTGAACAGGTGCTGTGGGTCACCCTGCCTTAAAGGCACTATCAGGCCTTATTTTGTGCCCCCAGTGGCTGTGGTACACAACAATGCATGGGTGATGAATAAACTGAAAACAACACATTCACTAGAAGGGTCTCTTTTTCTCTACAAACAAAAACTTGCCACCAGAGTAAATGACTAAATAATTCTGGTTCTGTGTGTCAAATGCCATATACAGCCCCCTTTTATAAATAAAAGAATTATATTTCTGTATACCAAATGTGCTTCACTCAAAAAAAGCTTATGAACTTTTTTGGAATTTAAAAAAAGATGATAAAAATGGTCAAATTCCAGAGCAGTGAATACTGACTGAAGCCCTGGCAAAACACAAAGGTACTGTTATCTGTATTTCAGAAACAATACTGGTCTAACCCTAATCAGTGGTGTACATTAATAAGCATATACTCTACCTTAATACACAGAAGAAATGAGACTGGGAAGGTTGGTATTATAAAGAGGAGAGATACGAGGACCAACAGCCAACCGAAACATCCCAGCCTCCCTGAGTTTTTATCTGTGGAGAAAGTGGAAAAACACTTTACAAGCTTGGAATATGGAGGGGAACAATATTTTGCATAATTTCCATGGCACCTTTGTTCCACATTTGTCAGCGTGTAAATCCAGACCAAAGACTGTTGTGGTCATTTTGTTCACACGATTAAACAGTAATATGATCCAGCGGGACAGAACAAAGCATGTGTGCAGTCAAGCAGTGAGATGTGGGGGATCCACACTTCTCATTTGTTCCTAATGATGTAATTAATCTCTGAGGAAAGTCACGTAACTTCACCTCCACCTGAGTCACAGGGTGTTGTGTAAAGCTACTCAACTACTGATGTACTATCCTGAAAATGCTGCTTAACACTGACGTAGTTTCTCCTTCAGTTAGAGTGTGAATTTAAAAGGAAAACTACATATGATCCAGTCTGAGGGTAGATTTTTAAGTCGGTGTATGGCTGCAACTATTATTTGCATTATCTTTGTTTTGTAAGTGCTGTATGTGTAATAATGGGTTTTTTATTAGTTGATTAATCACTTATGAAATGTCAAAACTAGTAAAATAAAGTGGAACAGAATTACAGAAAGCGCAAGGTGACATCTTTAAATGTGGTAGCTTGTTTATGTCTGTACAACAGCTCAAAACCCAAAGATATTGAAAGTACAATGATGACGCAGATCTGCAGATCTTCCTCAGACCTGACAAGCTGGCAGCAGCAAATGATGCCATTTTTGATTGATAAATGATTTAAGTTTGTTGATAAATTGATCAAGCTGAAAGGAAGAGCTTCCTCGACTTCTCAGAAAAAAATACATTAAAAAAACCTATAGAAATACTAATACTAGCAGTAGGACTTGGAATGGTTATGTATTATGTAATAATTGTTAAAAAAAAAACTGCCAGCCAATCAGCATAAGGTATCATGAATAATGCTATAGTTTCATCGGTGTGCTTAAGACATGCATTATTAATACATATAAAATATATGTCTATTTTTATTTATTTTTTTCAATCAGTGACTTTTTTGTTTCAACCCTTGTTGTTTAATTAGTTTTCTCCTTCTTCCTTTTGCCTTCCCTCCCACAATGTAGTGCAGCTCTGTAACATGTAGTATTGATGTGTAAAATTCTTGAGATATACAATTATATAAAAAAACCCAAACATTTTAAGCAAAATTAAAATGCTTTACAGACAGTTAAACATATGGTAGGTAGTGTTGTGTCAAAGTACTCTATAACATCTGTGGTGACAAGGAGGGAAATGTTTCTGATTAACAGGGGTGCTATTAGAGAAACCGAGTCCCTTAAAAACAGCACACTTAGGCCCTCAAACGAAATGTTTTATCCCTGGTGAGTTTACACTAAATAATTCAGACGCTCAGCAAGTTGTGAAAAGATAAAAATCCTTCATCTAATGACAAAGAGTGAATTTTTTTTAAAAAGATCATAAAAGGTATTTACCTTCGACATGCTCTGCGTCATTGATCTGAAGTTTGCCCTGTGTCACCATGTCGGCTGTGCTGGCTGTCGTTGAGATCATTAGTGAGTATGTTGTCTGTGTGACGGAGCAAGTGAAGCAGCCCTGCACTTGTTTACCTATCTGTTCTCCCTGAGGGTGCCCTGTCCCCTTCCCCCATTAGCTGACACACACATACTGTATACACACACACACAAACATATACTCCCACTTGGTGTGTGACTCTTGGACTCATCCAGTCAGTGCCAACAGGTAACATGAACCATAGAGCCTAACCATCCTCTGTGTGGCTCCTATATTGGAAAGCTTAAAGTTCAGCTCTTGTGCTTTTCCATTATGCTCTTACATTCACGTCCAGGAGTCTGACACCTGTTGAGTGCAGGTTATGAATAAACAATAGATGGCTCCCAGTCGAGAAACATGAGACCTGGTGCATTCGCACAAAGATGTGATCGTGCTCATGTCTCTCCTGCCATATCATGGAAATGTACACACATTTAAAAAATTATCTGAAAGACAATACAATAAATCTTTTTCATATGTCATGCAAATTTTAATTGTAGTGTTGTTCAACTGAGAATAATATAGATACATAATTACAGTATGTAACAACCAGTTATTTCTCTGGTGTGAAGCTGTGTAGTTTACAGTTTGTGTGAGAGCTGAGCGTAATCATGACAAGTGACATGTGAGCTGCTGGTTACCATAACTTTTCAGTGAGGTCCCTTTAATCAACTGTCACATGATACTTGGTCACATGATGGCCAGCTCACTACAGTACATGAGCTATGTACTGTGAGCACATGTCAATCCAAATGCTGTTAACACACCAAGCTCACTTTGAGTTAAAGATGCTGTGATCATTTTGTTAGTTTAAATATTTTTTGAAGGCAATTTTTACTGTGACAAACTCAATTACAGCAACACAATGGTGCAGTGGTTCCTTGTTTGAACCCAGGATAGGGGGAGCCCCTCTGTGTAGAGTGTGCACGTCCTCCCCATGTCAGTGTGGGTTTTATCTGGATGCTCCGGCTTCCTCCCACAGTCCAAAGACATGCACACTGGGTTAATTGGTGACTCTAAATCGCCCGTAGGTGTGAATGTGAGCATGAATGGTTGTCTGTCTCTTTGTGTCAGCCCTGTGATAGTCTGGCAACCTCTCCAGGGTGTACCTTGCCGCTCACCCAATGTCAGCTGAGCTAGGCTCCAGCCTCCTGCAACCCTAACAGGATAAACAGAAAATGACCACAGACCACACAAACTTTTAACTACATCTTTTCTAACACAATTTATAAACAACAACGTTTTTCTTTTCCACTGCCAGAGGACATGGTAGTTAAGTGTGGTAAGGCAGGCAGCTCAGATTTTGCTTCAGCTGACAGAAAGGGGGGGGAAAAAACAGAAAGAAAATGCTTCAGAGGTTCATCTTAAACATAACCATTTTTAATCTTTACTTTTTAAAGCTTTGCTCTGTTTTCTCTAATTTTCAACTGTTTTTTTTATATTGAATTCATAGTTTCTCCATCTTAACCTCAGCTGGAAAATGCTGAGCGTTCAGTCGGGTTAGCAGAATTGTTCTCATATGCCGCTGTGTTGGTTTACATAAACAAAAAGAGCTGAGCTGCTTAAACTACCAAGAGAACAGGTTAAGCCAGTTGTTCATATTGATTGCACTGGCAAAAACATTTGTGAGTGATAACTGAAAAATGTGTGGTGAGGTAAAACCCAGGCATCAGTGAACATGATAAAATCGTTTCTAGAGACATTGCACTCAGACTTCTGGATGTTAACATGAAAGGTTTATTTTAAATGAATTAAACTGCTTTGAAAAAATCCCAAGAAATTCAAATACAGCCATACCAACAGCACCAATACTCATATATTATCGGTCACATCTAATGATACACTGAGACACAATCTCATTAAAAAAAATTTAAGACAAGGACAAGAACAAGGAAGTGTTTTAGCACAATACTTTCTTCAGGTGTAGTGAGCCTTCATGTCAGTAACCAGCTGTCTCCATCATAAACTTGCGACTGAGTTCGTAAGCCAGGAACAGGGCTCCATTGGCAGGGAAGGTGCGTATCATGGTAGGAGTCAGGCCCGAGTACAGAGCAGTGAATCCTGTGGGGCAAGAGAGAGTCAAGCAGCCACACAGGTCATTCCCCATAGATGAGTCAGGTCCCCTGCATGGACCAATTAGTGGAAAGATGCATCCACACTGTGTCACAGCAGAGGTGCATTTATAGCTTTTCAAAATCTAAAACTTTTCAAAGTCTAAGGCTCCCCTATTAACCCACCCAGGGCCAATTTTGTGGTTGTTTCTCAGGTTTTATGTCAATTAGAGGCATAAACGCTCACATTAAAATCCATTTCATTATACGTGTGCCCTCCAAAGACCAATCAGTGTGATTTGTAAGGCAAACATTGACAGTGTCAAACCTTGGCTTAGCAAAGCCATAAAAACCATCCTTTAATCCATTACCTAAACCAGTAGCATTACCAAGTTATTCTGTATCTTTCCCCATCATGCCAACAGATGGTGCAGATGGTGGGGCATGTGGCTGTGACTCAGTACATTAAGTATGCAGGCAGAGATGAGATGTACACTTATGTTCAACTAAATGTGCAGAACAGGTCAGACTGTACCTTTTCACACACTACTGTCTTGTTCTACTGTCAGTACAGTAGAACAAAAATATCCCTTTAGAGGCTGCTCTATTGTTTGTTGGCACCGTACGCCCATTAGCCCCATCACCATGATCTGAGCTCTACAGCATACATGGACAATATATTACTGACCAACTGCAAAGAAACACACACACATTTATCAGATAGATACTTCCATTTTGCATTTAATTGAGGGTTCATAGGTGACATGACTGTGGAAGTACCCAATAAAGTATCTAACATGTAAAAAATCATAATGAATGTATGAATTGAAGACCAGATTTACCTTTTTAAATTTTTATAATTACTTGCAGTTTTGCTAATACTCATTTTAATTTCAAGTGCTTTAATCTCTTACTCTTGAAATGACATTTCAACTACTTTCACCTGCTATTGTTTATTTAACTGAGAGTCCATTTGCTTTCATTTATCAAATATCAGCTGACACTTATATATTATTACTAATATCAGTTCCTGAACTACAACTGATACTTCAGCTTCCCTGAATGCTTACACTTAAATATAACTTCAGCTTCATTCTGTGCTTACACATAAACTGAATCTTCAACTTCTTTCTGGACTTTCATTTTAACTACTGTTTCCATTTCTGTCACTTGTTTAATTCTGTCTGCCACTTCAACTTCTTTCAGTATAGAGTGCCAAAGCCACGCCCCTTCCGGTAGAGCTCATGGGACCTTAGATTGGAAAAAATATGAATGGCAGTGAATGAGGAGAGAAATATTATCTTTTGTTCCCATTTGAGTTGTGACATGAAATCCAAATATGTCATTAATGAATTTAAAACATAAATTTTAAGGTCAAGAAAGTCATACTTTGTGGTAAAACTGTTGAGATATAAGCTTTTGAAAAAAATGTAATTAGAAAAACTACACAGGAGGCGGTCGCATAGCTTTCGCTCGCTTCCTGCAGCTTGGAGTGACTGCAACCTGGCACAAAACACACAGACATCTTCAATCATAAATCGATTAATCATAAAACAGTGGAATTTCAGCGGGGAGACCAAGCTGCAGGAAGCGAGCGAAAGCTATGACGTCACATACGCGACCTCCTCCTGTGTACTCGAGTCTTTCTAATTAAAAAGCTTATATCTCAACAATTTTACCACAAAGTATGACTTTCTTGACCTTAAAATTTATGTTTTAAATTCATTAACAACATATTTAGATTTCATGTCGCAACTCAAACGGGAACAAAAGATAATATTGCTCTCCCCATTCACTGCCATTCATATTTTTTCCGATCTAAGGTCCCATGAGCTCTACCGGAAGGGCCGTGACTTCGGCACTCCATTTCAGCTATTTCAAATCAGGGCTGTAACCTCATATTTTACGGTGGAAGGGGGGTTGGGGTGGAGGTATTGTTCCCAGGAGAAACTTTCAGAAACTGAACAGGTACCCTGACCATTTTGGAGCATTTGGACACAAAAATCATAAATCAGGGGTCCTCAAGGTTTGATTACTGAAAGTCATTTAAGGCAAAAGTGCAGACACTAAAACATTTTTATTACTTTTTATGATATACTACAACACTTTTTCCATGACTTACTATACTATGACTTTTTTAGGACAGTTTTATGACTTACTAACACTTTACATAAACTGTAATAATCCACAGTGATATGGAGACATACGAAACACTGATATTACATTTTAGTTTTTGATACATTTGAAACTGATAAAATAGAGAGATAGTGAAGTATTTGAAATTGTACCCACAGCAGTCAACTACTAGAACTACTAGAACCAGTAGTTAAGGACAATTTAATAAGTTTATTCATGATTTTAATTACACTTAGTGTGTGTGTGTGTATATATATATATATATATATATACTGCCAAGTTTCAGATATTTCATTCATATTTACAGTCAATTTTAGCTGTGAGCACACTTGAATTTCCCACAGAAATGCCTTTCTTGTGTTCTTTCTTGTATTTTTTCCATGTTACACATTGTTATGTATGCAGCACATTCAAATCTCTATCCCAGCATGCCATAGTTTGCTCCTGTTGGACCCCGCACTGCACATACTAATATTCATATATTACTACTTGATATTCACTGATGTCTTTCATTGTTTTCAAGCATGATAAGTCTGATTTCTGTCAATCCTAGTATTTGCCAGTAAAATAACCCCATCTGCTTCTGGGCTTATTTTGGTCATTTGAATAATTTTGTCTCATTATTCACATTGACTGGCACCAACAGACAGTATAATCACAAACAAATACAGTCTATGTAAATCACCTGTACTACTTCTAGATTCCAGTTTCTGCCATCCTCTCTGTGTCAAAAATGATACACACGAGATGTATAAGAAAAGGGATAGAAAACATTGACTAATCAAATAGTTCTAATTCTCTGCAGAGGAAATGTCTGATTTGAATGTCTAAACTGGTTATGAACAGAATGAGAGAGTTGAGTCTAGACATTAAGTGTGTGTTTGAGTCAGCGCTGTTCTCTACTGAACCATGATTGATCACAAAAAGCCAAATTATACAGCCGTAGTCCTTAAACCTATGATTATATGGTTGTGTGATGTGAACCAGTCAGCTGTCCTCCCCTGTTGTCACAAATACGGTCTGGATGTAAAACCTTTAGTGACATTTGACAAGACAGCAAGGGGCAAAAATAATCCTTTTTATCTGCTAAAATGTGAGAACTATGCTGTTGAGAACCGTACACAAATCATCTGGGTTCATTTAAATTTAAAAATGTACTTTCAAGTCTTACCTTCAGTGCGTATGACACCCCTGAAAGTCTTCATGAAGCCCTCTTGCCTCCCAGCTAAAGAGTACACCTGGATCCTGGACTTCACACAGTCTATGGGATAGACCACCAACCACAGACAAGCTCCTCCAAATCCACCGCTGAACATGAGTGGAAGAATACCTGCAAAGACAAAAATTATTTTGCAGGAGCAGATCACAGAACCAAGTTCAAATCATAAACTGAAAATAATATAAACATACCTATACCGTCCTTGTCAGTTCCTTTGTACTGCGCAAATTTAGACCGACACAGTTCATATGCCCCAAAAAAGCAGAAGTAACCCGGTATCTCCCTCACTATGGTGGATGATAGTCCTTGGTAGAAACCCAGGGGACCGTTTGTCTTCAACACTGTCTTTACTACTGTCCACGCTGTGCTAAAATCCCAGCACAAAACACAGTCAAAGGAGTATCAAATGAAATTAAACACATTGTGCTACTTCCAGTGTCTCTCTTTGGTCACACTGACCTTCTCTGTCCTCTTGCAATCTTGCCAGACGCTTCCATTTCGTGCATGGCCTGCAGGCGACATTTCACCAGCTCGGTGGGACATAGCACCATGGAGGAGAAGATGGAGGCTAAAGACCCTGCAGATGCCTTCTGAATATCACTGATGAGCAAGGACAAGGAGTACAGTTTAACTAAAAGACAATAATGGGTTTTTAGAGTGCATACAGGACGACTACCTACGTTAGTCTTCAGGATTACTCAGGACATTTCTATTTTTAGATGAAAAGCATACATTCCTTCCTATCATAACTCAGAATAAGAGGAGATTTGCTCTGTTGTATTCTGCTGGAACCCAAATGCCACACATATTTATAAAAATGAAGTGCACTAAATGGAAAAGCATCCTATGAATGTAGGTAGTATGATTACATTTCCTGGTCCAGATCTGACAGAACTGTTTCTATTTGAAAGAGCACAGACAAAAAGCATTCAGTCCACAAAGTCACCTTCTCATTAAATGTCAAGGGACTGGCTCCCGGCTACAAACCTGAAATGTCTCTGAATAAAGTGTTTCTGAGATTGAGAGTCCATTCCATCTAATAATTTTCCAACCAATTACAAGAAGCATGTCATTCCTTCTAGTCTAATGCCTAATTTATTATTTGCTCTCTTGCTGCTCACTGGAAGTTTGACATGGTAATGTTGAGTCACTGTGATGTAAAACATTTAACTGGTTATGGTGGTTTACAGTATGGATTAGGGGTGTAACGGTACACAAAAATCACGGTTCGGTACGTACCTCGGTACACAAGTCACGGTTCGTTTTTTTTTCGGTGCAGTAATGAAAAAAATAGACAACTATTAAATATCTTTTACTTATTGGTAACCTTTTTAAAACATACCACCACAGCAGTTAACTCTTTTTACCCAATTTTTGAATGAAACAAATATATATAAAATCCTGCTTTTTCACATTGTTTGAATGAAAATAGAAATATAAAAGTGAAAAATAAAATCCTGCTGTTTTTTTTAACACATTTTTTGAATGAAAAATATAAATAGAAATTTCTGCTTAAACAGTTTTACTCAGTTAAAATAAAAAAGTATAGTGCAGCTGGTCAGCTTTAAAGCCTGCTCAGATTCAGTTTTACTAGGAACTTACTTAGCTTTCCCACTTTGTTAAAGTGCAGTAAACATAACATGCTTATATCTATTTTTTTTTTTTTTTTGTCTGCATTGGTCTTCATAGCTTAGCGCCACAAAAGGGTGTAAGCTTCTTGTGAAGACTGATGCACTGTTAATCTTGCAGTCAAGTATTTTATACCCATAATGCGTGGTTGTGACCGTCACCCACCCTCCCTGGAGACTAGCCTAACAGCCTTTATTGGAAAAAACTTCCTAATATGAGCCAGAGAGGGCCGTGATACACCAAAGTGTGTCAAGGGGAAAGTAAGGAAACAAGCAAGGGGGAGGGGCAGGTGCTTAAGTCCTGAGATATATAGCGACAGTGCATGCGGAGAAGAAGGAGGAAAAACAAACAAACAAATAAACAAACAAACAAAAAAAACAGGGGAGAAACAGGCAGTGTAGCTGATGTATTGTGGCCTTGAGGTGGTTGTGCTCCATGCAGATTATCAAAAATAAACATATACATGTCTACTATACTGTACTGAAAAACAAAAACAAAAGAGAAGTCTATACTGAACACCAAAAATGTGAGAGTCTTGGTGGAGGAAAGCCTGATTGTAGAGAAGAGTTGCCAGTGCGGTGTGGTAGGTTTGAGAAGCAAGTGGGCCCCTTGGGAGTGATCCCATCGGTTCTTTGCGATGCGTCACGGAGCTGAAGTATCGAACATGCATGCGTGTATTTGAACCCTCCCAATGTGTTTATGAAAATCATCACCAGGGTCCAGGGCCAGCCCTGCGGGGGAAGGGGGGCGGTATGGCACCCCAAGACCGCAGGAGCGCCCAGACCCCAAGACCAGGGAGCCGCAGAGGCTGCAGGACACCTTGCAGGCCCAAGGACCCATGGCGGCTATGGCTGGCACCCCCAGAGAGCCAGAGACACACCCCAGACAGGCGGGGCAGGAGGGCCCGCCCACCCACCGCCCGACGCGGACCGCCCCCACCCCCCCAACCACCACCCACCCCGGAACACCCGCCCGCCCCCACCCACGGACGCACCCAGGGACCACCCCCGACCCAAGGAGCCAGGCACGGGGACCCGGCACCGCCCCCGGGGAGAGAACCAGCACCGCACCGGACGGGCCCGCACCAGGCGTCGGCCACCAGCAGACGCTGGACCGGACGGTAGTGAGAGCCCACCCAGGCCCGGGCGGACGAGGGAGGCAATGAGGCGGTGATGCTGCAAGGCATATGTCCCCGGCTCATCAGGAACCAGGGGACCGCGAAGGGCCACCCGCCCAAACCCCCCAGGACGGGCCCCCACCAACACACAGGAGAGAGCGGCCCACCACGAGCAGTCAATTCCCCATCGGGACCCCCTAGCAGAGGGCCCAAAAACCACAGCCGGTCAGGAGGCAGAACCCCGGCAGGAACCCACAGAGCCCCCAGGGCGCCACCCGGCCCACCCACCACAGGGCCACGGGACCCCCCAGACACCGGGAACCCAGCAACACCACCATGATGTAAATGGGCTCCCTGGCTCCAACCCTCAACCCACGAGCCATGCCATGCGTATCTACAATGTGTGTAAACCCACCACCCCCCCTCTTACTATGATTCTCCGATCCCTGACGGAGAAACATTAACCCTACACCGTGAATGTGAATGTGAGTGCCCATAAGTGTGATGTGGTGCATTAAAATTGAGGGACATAGGAGACAGGTGGGGGCAAGGCTGATGGCTACAGCACACTGCTGTCCTGCAGCCCGTGCAGCCATAAGGCACCTGGAACCTGTTCCCATCTGTCCCACAAGATGTAGGTGTATGTGGTGCTTTAAAATTGGAGAACAGATAAGGATGGGCTGGGGGGCAGCATGGAGGGCTACCGGACACCACTGTCCCATAGCCTGCCCCATTATGAAGCCCCCCAATCCATCTGTGGTCTGCACCTCGAAGAGTGAGTGTATGTGGTGCATTAAAACTGTGCAATGTGTGGTGAGTGAACTAAATGTGGTTTAGGAGGCCAGGCCAGTGTAGGCCCGGCCCGAGGGCTGGAGGGATGGATGGGAGGGG